CTCGACGTTTGCAGCTAACGATTTCGAATTTGGACTAATCAGTCCAGACCACTCGTTACCACATTATGACTGTGAAATCCTTATGCTGGAGAGCTCAATCCAGTCTTTTCTTCTTACTAACTGGACTCAGCAATGGTTTTTATACAGCTACATGCCCATGTAGTCCGAACTCCTTTAAACAGGTTTTTCACCGTAGAAGTACTGATGAGAACACCATTGAATTGATAGTATAAGGACGTGATTTTACCAGCCGTCAGTCTTCTACCTGATAAATAAATGTTCCTAATTTCAATATCTTGCCGTTTTGTTGTTTTTTTCGACCTGCCGGTTCGTTTTTGGCTCTCATGAGTAGAAAATCTCTCGAAGCGCCTCAAAGTTCTTTGTATGCAGCAACGGGAAACGTTCATATTTGCTGCAATCTGAACTTTCGAGTATCCTCCCTCTGAATAAATAAAGATTATTTCCCTTTCTGTAACAGTTAGATTTAATATTTTGCCCATTTTCGGGACTTAAAAAAACTTTGAAAATTGAATCTGTCTCCGAATATACTTTGCGAGCTCATTGGCAGTATAACTGTTCCAAATAGTAAAAAATGTAGTAATTATAACAAAATTAAATAAATATAATATTTACGAGATGAAACCTTTTCAAAATGTAAAAACATTTAACGGTAATACACTTTAAAATGAAGCTAGAAATAGAACGTGAAACGTGTCCCTGCGTGAAATCCCGAATAATTTGAAAATAAATTGAATAATAACAAAGAAAAGCATAATTTCGGCAAATAAAAACTACAATAAATCATTTACATTCCGCTTGAAAAAAGAGCTTTACATTTTTTAGTCTTTTTCTTGAGAAATGATCATTTTTGCACCCTGCCTCAAACTTTTTGGCGGTACTGTAGATATAATATATACGTGGTAATATATAGATATAGATTGAATTAAAGTGAAACAGCGGCGCCTTCCCTAGCAAGAGCCGCCCAAGGCAACAGGCAGGCTATGACTGGCTCCTAGCCCAGAAGAAGACATCTAACAGATATACAAACTATGGCAAAAAGCCATGCTCTCGCTCCGTTTATTTCCTAGGCTTGAATCTACCCTGCATTTCAGTCGCGAGGCTGATCGAGCTAATCGATAGTTAACTGTGGCACTGACAGACGGACTTAAGCCGTGATTGCCTCTGAGGCATTAGGTACAGTCTACCTATTTAATTCCATCGCCGTAGCACCTGGCAGTACAAACTTTCTGGGTTGGGTTTGTTTGGTCAGGCTTGCGGCCTCAACCCCCTGATGACGCAGGCTGCCTGACAAATTTCTAGGACGGAATCCTTAGCTGTCCATTCTCTTTTTAACTTCCTTAAGCCTCGCCCCATATCTGCAGGCTGTTTTGCCATAGTTTGTATATCTGTTAGATGTCTTCTTCTGGGCTAGGAGCCAGTCATAGCCTGCCTGTTGCCTTGGGCGGCTCTTGCTAGGGAAGGCGCCGCTGTTTCACTTTAATTCAATCTATATGCACGCCTCAAATGAAAGCAGTTTTCACTGCCCATTTGGGTATTCGCTAATTAAGCCAACCTTTTACTTCTACGTTCCTTAATTATGTAATATATAGATATTATACTTGGGGTGAGGGTTCATGGCTTAAATGGAGTAACCACACTATACTAACAGTACCGTGTAGTTTTCAAACTTTTAGCATTCTGGTTGCCGTGGGTAACAGAAAAAGAATGAATCAGTAGGGGAAAAGAAAGGAGTCGAAAAACAAAGAAGGAAAGAAACTGACGAGAACTGGAGGCTATGCATGTTGTGCCACTGGTGCAATATGTCGGCATTCATGTTCCACACTCCTTTCACGTGGTTATGTTGAAGTCATAGGCCTTTATGGGAAGCAGCAAACGTGCTTGCTGATTTCGCTTGTTTTTTAAGTGGTTCTATCTATGCGGAATTGACTTGCTAAGTCAATCGCTAGAAATCATGGATTTCTAATTGCGCATGGAGATTCTGTTACGTCAGGTCTTGCTTATATCGAAGTGATGGAAATGAAGAAAAAAGAGGTGGAGCTGTCCTGGAGCCAAAGTATTGAAACACCTGAAATCGCCTAGCATCATTGGCTATAGGCCTAACGTTAGAATGTCAGTTTTTGTGTCTGGATTAACCCTTTCGTGCATGAATTTTTAAAGCAAAATAAAAATATGCCCTTTATGGTTTAACGTTTAAGGAGTTACTCTGCCGTAGTAGTTGAATGTTCTACTGCTAGAAGAGACACTGAACAGATTATGTGCCCTTGAGTTGACTGCATGCACCAAAAGTTTCAAGGTATGAGTACCATGGCTGAAAACTCATAATTATCGCCAAAAATTTTGTTGTCCACTACGGTGGGCACCATGCATGAAAGGTTAAGTAGACCTGTTCAGTTGTAGCTTGGTAAATACGGCTTAACTTGACTAGATTGAACAATGAATTCAGATGGTTTGGCAATGTATAATTGTCTGATGATTGAGATTGGCATTTGTAGGATGGTGGATCCTATGATCCTGAGTAGAGGCTAGCATTACCAGACAAAGTTTGTCATGTTGATATTGGACAATTAAAGGAAAGCACACAATGTTTGAGAGTGATATCTGAATGGTCCCTTCCATGAAGGCAGGCATATTGCATTTTTGGATGGTTAAATTAGAGAAAGAATAGATTTGCAGAGATGAATTATTATAATTTGCTGGAAGTTGCATGAGTCTGCCTTGACAAGGTGGAGCAACAGAGTCACATTAGAGCTGCCAAAATGTCAAAAGATCAATATTTTAAAAGTCTTTTAATGTTGAGTATCCAGAGAAAGGTGCATGAATTCTCTAAAGGAAGGAATTGTAGATGGATGGAGTCCCTTCCTAAATTGAAAGGCATGTGTCACAATTAGGCAGACTAGTATTCTATAGCCTGGTAGCTGCAGTTAACAATTTCATGGATTAGAGCATCTGAAGTTGGCCAAATTTTGATGGTGAGTCCCTGAAACTTTAAAGAATTATAAGAAAGGAGAAGTGAATTTTGAAAGATGAGGGGGATAGAGGTAGGGGTTTTGCTGCAACAAAGTTTAAAAAGATTGGTTTGCTATGGATGAAAGATATATTCTATTAGGATGTTCTTCTGAATCTAGACTGCAGGTCCTTCTGGAATGAAGCCATTTGCTGCTCCTTTAGGCCATGTGAAAAATAGTTAGCTTGGAAGGTTGCTATATCTGCAAGCAGGTGGATCATGTCCACCTGTGATTTCAATGACTTATGACATAATGAGCAATAGGCCTACAACACTGCCTTGGGGAGTGAATTGCTGAGGGTGCTAAGGTACACTTTTTTCAGATTGAATTGCTACCCAGCTTATGAGCAGTTCCATTGAATGCAGGTAGGACACCTTGCAGATAGAAGGTTAGGTTTTAGTATAATCCTTTGTGGGTTTCTAATTCCCAATTTGGGAGCCCTGCATGGTTGTTTGAGTTTGAATCTCCCAGCCTTTTGATTAATGCCAATTCAGATATTCACCTCTTTTTTAACTGTAATTTTTGTTGAGGACATCAGGTATCTGATGACAGAAGAGTCAATCAATAATAAAAAAAGCAGAACATGGATTATGAATAAGGGACAGAGAAGTGAAAAAGAAGTTGAAATTTCAGCCTTGAAATAGTAAGTAATGATCTTAGAATAAAATAAATATGATATTAGTTATTCAAAAACCTTGAACATATAGCCCCAGTATCTGATGCCATCAGTGTTCCTTACCATGCTGCTGAACCTTGCAACTGTTGTGTTCTGCCACTGAATACCCCTGAAGAACCTTTCTCTATTCTCTGGAGGCCTTGGTCTAAGTTTATATATTTTAGAGTGTAAAGGTACTAAGTCTTGGAGACTGTCACTTTTAGCATATTATAAAATTAATGCTGCCTTATCATTTTTTTAGATCATGAACACAATTGATAAAAGCATCGAATGTCCTGAGTGATTTCATCCATCATGTCTTGTCAGTTTGTGAAATATGCTTCTATATACAATAGTGATACTTTATCCCGACTAATTTCTGTCCTTCATGTTGATCAAGGTATGTTTTTTGTACCTATTATCCAATTATGCTTCTAGTTCCTTTGCATTTTACAGAAAGAAGCTTGGTAGGATTGGAAGTGAAGCTATAGCCATGTGGAACAGTTGGAATTGCCCCATTTTTATGGAAGGGAGACTCAATAAAAAAAATATCAAACTCACTGTGGTACAAATAATTATTATAACATTTTTCTGAAAGGGCTTGGAGATATTTCAGAGAGCCAGTTCAGTCACAGTTTGATCCACTATTGTTTAGAAATCAGTCTGTAATTGGTTAGTCAGCAAAATCTCAACAGAAACTGACACTAAACCAGTGAATTGAAGTCCAAGCCAAAAATGTTGGTTAAATAATCATTGACCAATTTTTCACTATTGAGGCCGCATTGTCCCCCTTAAGTGTTGCCTGAGCATTGTTTTCTCTTACGACTGTTATCTCTTACAAGGCAAAATGCCAGCTGATGCTATCTATCTGCAAAAGAGGAACTATGATGCATGTGAAAATGAATCCCATACACTGTATATATGTAATGTGACTGAAAAACATGCTCCAATTCTTTTGAATGTAGATGTATGGGACAACCGCTTTACATTAATAAAAGCTACTCATATATATATGTGACAACCACTTAAGGGGTTAATTTGGGTTGCCCAAGAAGTGCTTTGTGAGTAGTTTTTCTGATCAAAAGCTGACAAGTTAGAGAGGGAACTTCTCCTATACCTGCAAAGCACAGCTTAACCTGAAAAGTTAGCAAATTACTAAAAATTAAAAACTGAGATTCTGCATCATATTCTTAGTTACTAAATTGTGGAAGATTGCTGCTGTGTGTGCTCTGCAAGGAATTTCAGGTCTGATTTGTCTTTGGAATCTAAAGAGAAATTATGCAGTGACTTAGGAGAGCCTAAGGGGAAACAGTGTTGGTATGAGCAGTAAGTTCTTCTGCTATATTCATTCATTCATTTCATTCCCCTATTTTACTAATATACCAATTGCTCCAACTTTCATGGAAATGGATTTTAGCTTGATTTAGAACATTTATTGATCACAGTCATCATGGGATGAACTCAGGGATCCTTTTTTATGAGCCATGAATCCAACATAAAATAAAATATTTTATCAGGTGAATCAGAAGACACATGGGATTGGAGTGTTGAGGATGACAAGTCTCCAGCTTCCACACAAAGTGATCCTGGAGATGAGGCCTGGATTCCAAAATGCCTTATTTCCCTATCATCAACAGCTGAGGTCCTTGTTATTGCTTCTGGAGAAGGAGCATCTGTGTTGCACCGTAAGTGTGACCCAGAACTTTGGATCTTTTTGATTCCTATACTCTTAGAAATGGAAGCAAATTGGGCCAGAGATTGTTTAGATGTTGTTGGGTGTAGTATTTGCACTGTGATGGATTAGAGTTAACATAATTTGAGTTGCTGGGCAAAACTAGCTTCAGCTCCATTGGTTGAATGTTTCTCCATTTTTGGTACAAAAGCCAGTGGAAAATGTAACAATTGCAATTTTTTTGGAAATACCTGCCATGTGCATGATCTTCCAAGTTGTTCTCTTAGACAATCATATGCTCTAAATAGCAATCATACTGTTAAGTGAAACAAGGTTTTGGTTGTATTTTCATTCATTAAGATGAATATGAAAAGCCTTTAGAGATTTTTCCTATATAGCTATTGGAAATGGGGAAATTTTTCAGTGCCAAAGTGGGTTTCATTTTCTCCTTTCAACAGCTATGAGGTCTCTGTGGTCTTATGTGTATGTAATTTTCATTTCAGCAGCTCTTCCATTTCTTTGAGTATAACTTCCTTACTGCTTTGCTTGTTGGAAAACTTTTTTCATTGTTATTGAGTCATCTCTATTTTTCAGGGAAATTTGAATCATTATCAGGAGAATCAGATGGACCACAATATGTCTTTTTCACATCACTGTACTCTACAGGGTTAGTTGAGTCCCTCATTTTTTCACTTATTGGAAATTATATTAAGCCCTTCAGTCATAGCCCAGTGATTGTTGGAAAGTTTGCATTGCAGTATGAAGCAAGAATTTCAGCAAAGTATGTTGATTTTTTTAAATTTGTCCCTAACAAGTACATGTTGAAAAACTTTTTTTTTTTTCAGACTGATTCTAGTCATAGAACCATGTTAAAAGAGACACTATCAAATATTTTCACCTCTGGGAGCAGCATAGGGTTTCTCCAGAACAAACTCCTTCTTCCAGTCCAGCCATTTAAACTAAACCAGAAGAATCTAAGCAAAAGTTGTAGAAACTCTATGTATGAAAAATTTTATGAATGGACTAACTGGTTTAGTTGAGTTTCCTTTAATATATATGAATGCCTCTTTAGGGATAGCTTTATAGGGGACATGAGCAAATTGTAGATGGTTTCCATATTGAGCTGATACTGTGAACATTAAGTAACTACTGCCCAAATTGCACAACACCAAATTGATCCTTAGATAATGAAGGTCCCTTCTTTCAGGGGTCAAAGTGCTACCTTATTTTTTGGGTTAGACCTGATATGATATTTTATGTACATGAATTCCTTCTTCCTCTGCATTATCATCCAATAAAATGCTTGGCAATATGATTTTTTCTTAGCAAGTGCTAATAACACAAGTTAGCAAGTACACTAGTAAAGAAAGTTCATAAGACTTGAATATTATGGGGATGGTTTTCAAGAATAAAAGAAAAAAATATTTTTAGCCAAAGAAATCATATGATGTAATAATGAACAGATAAGTTTTTTCCAGTAAGTTTCATTTTTAGCTGAAAGAAATCTCTGGAAATAACTGTATCTACCTAAAAATAATGGCCTCTTGCTTGCAGGATCCCAAGTTCTGCTCTATTTTAGAAAGAGGTGATCCATTCCAGAGGTCCAGTTCTGTTGTTTGCATTGATTTAGACTATGGGTAGATCTAGCCTATAAATTGAAATGAACTCTCCTGGATTTGGAGGAAGTACTGCTCCAAGCATCCCAAGTAGCTATGGGATGCATGACAAAATTATGCCAATATTACTATTTAAAGGAAAAATGTGATGTCCTGTAATCAAAGTTCAAAATTGAAATGTTTTCCCCTGTGAAAGGAAATTATAGGTCTTTCTCAAATGTATGAGTTCAGTACCTACAGTCATGGTCCATCATTTGCTACATGGCTTGTATGTATTGAGAAGTAGACATCTACTCCATCATGTTTTCTGAGTTATGTCTCATATTTCCAAGATTCCTATTATCCTATTGACCCCACACTACTCAATACTTCTTTCAAGGGCCATTATGCTTTGTGAGGCACTTGGTAGCCCTCGCTCTGAAAGAAAAACCAAAGGGGTATGGAGTAAGGGATATTGGGTGTAATATGGCCTGAAAATGATTTTTAAAATTTTCACAAAGAGCAGGAATTTTGGGGTCACTGTTTTGAAAGATTTTGCAGCATTCATATCATGAGGAATATGGGTGAAGACTCCTGTGAAGTGTACCAACTCCATTGTTTCTAGATTAGTCGAGGATTTCAATATTCTGTGCATTCTAAAAGTGAGTTAAATGGTATTCATTGGGTATTCATTTCTTTGAGATGTCATACCCACCTGGGACAGCAATGAGTACCAGTGATAATTTTCAGTAGACTACCAAGAGGAGATTCTTGAAATTTTGAATGTGCCAATAGAGACTTCTTTACATATCAAGAATTGTCCAGCTTTTTTTTCATTCATAATACTGATGCTGAAATGTCTTGTATGGTTCCTCATAACAACTAGTTTCCATAAGAATGAGCATCATTTATTGCAACTTTTTACAACTCAAGATTTAAGTCATCCTGCCTTGACATCTACCAACCAAACACTAATGCTCCAAAGTTCCATTAATTTTTCCAAAAATCAGGAGGAAGTAGCCATATTATCTATTTGCATTATTCATTATGGGGAGAGAAGACTTGCAAAAAATACTGCCCAAAATTTGGGCCAAGGGCATGGGATCAATGATTGGCAGGTAAAGCATTTGCAGACAAACTGTACTTAGAGCAGGACAGGGTATAGCACTTTGTTCAAATGCACATATTGCTGTACTTATTTGCATAGTGGAGCTCCCCACAGCTTGTCACCATGCTAGACCAGTGGTTCCCAACCGTTTTTTGCTGTGACCCTAAACTGGCCACCAACAGGACCTCCCAACCCTCAGGTTTATGATAAAATTTAAATATGCATATATATATATGCATATATTATATTTTTTATTTTTTATTTCATTATATTGACCCATTGGGACCCTGATTTGGGTTGCAACCCGAAGTTGGGAACCACTGCACTAGACTCTTCACTTTATAACATCAGCCAAGGAAAGAAAACAAAGACAGAGTGCACTTGACAAGTTCTGGCTGGTCTAGGCCTTGTGATTCTGGAGTATTTTCCTTGGTACCAAGAGATGGACTGAATGTGAGAAACTGAATGATGCATAAAGTATTTACCTCATCAGAAGAGGTCAGCTTGAAAGAGGCAGATTTTGCCCTTCTGAATGCTAAAAGGTTGGGTAGACAAAAATCCTTAACAAAATGGCAAGACTTTTCAATAAAAATATGAGATATAAAAAAATGCTCTTTGACTCACCTGGATATCTTTATGGTCTTTTATGGGGACTCTCATGCTGCTCTTGTAAACCATGAACATCAAAAGAACATTATGTGAGTGTCTTCTTTTTTCTTTCTTTTATATTAATTTAAAAAAAATTTTTTCAGGGAAGAAGTAACAGCATTGCTGTGCATTCCTATTGCCTCAGAAAGGAAATCTTCACATGGTTCTCCTGATTGGACATGCATCATTGCAGGCTTCTCTTCAGGACATGTGAGGATATACACAGAGGTAAGACAGAGGGTTTTTTAGCAGATCCATGTAACTTTAATCTGAGTTAATTTCATAATCTATGGGAATGAGATTAATTTGGTCAACTGCTCAACCCAATTTAGGATACTGATAGTGACTTCTGTGCTTGTGTTTGACTTGCAAAAAAAAAACAGACTAAAGGTAATTTTAACCATTGATGGGATCTGAGAAATATGATGTTCTCTTGATTTTCTATGCTTTAAATTAGTCAGTTCTCTCTCTCTGTTCTCTGTTGGAAATTGCATTTACTAATGCCATTCATGTGGATGAATTTGACCATTTATGAATGTGAAGTTTCATTCACTTGGTAATACCTGTATCAAGATTGTGATGTTAAGCTCATTTCCTTTTTCCTTTATCCATCATTTGGGAGGAAGCAAACTGCATCTGGCTAGATTCTTGCCATGTTTGCCCAGAATGCTATTACTTTAGTGAAAGCAAGATTCAATAGCAATGTCATTCATTGAATTGCTTATGATTGAGGTAATAGTGAAATGAGTTACTTGATGTGAGGTTATGTTGCCTGTATTGCAGATGGGTGTACTGTTGGTGGAAGAGTTGTTTCATATTGGACCAGTTCAACTCATTAAGTACAAGCCCTTCTCTCCTCAACGTTTCCCAAGTGATCATGAAATGCACGAAGACCTCATCATTTTGTACGATGGGGCTTGCATTGTATTGGATGGGATTGGCCTGTATCACACACTTAGAGCATGCAAGAATTATGCTGCTAGAGGTGATTCCCATTCCTAAATATTTCTCATTTAATTTCTTTGCTAATATAATCCATGAAATTTTTAGAATTTCTTCAAAACTGTAATCCTAACATTATTCAACCCATTACCATCATTTGATGGCATACACCATTATGGTACCACCCTTCAATAAAAAAATTCATTGAAAAATCTATATTGAATATATATAGAGATTATGAGTTTGGTTTGAATTGAGCAGCAATGTTACTCTTGTATGATTGCCTGCCAACATTGGTGAAAGTATTGAAGACTTGAAAAAAGGCTAATTTTCTGTGAAAAGTACAATGCCATGGGGTTAACCCTTTGGGGATGGGGTAATTAAAAGCCTAACTATACCTTTGAGCCTGAGTTTTTTGGAAGGCTAGGAGTACACTGACTTTCAGGGTGTATTTTCCCACTAAATGTAGAAAATGATTCTCAACTTCATATTTCTGAAGAATGTGGTACTCCTGGAAGTGCACATGCGTACAGAGGACCTTGTCACAGTTGATGTAATGAAAACAAATTAACACACTGGTGTTTTTGTAGTCCCCAAAGGGTTAATAGGTTAATAATCACACCTGTGGAGAGATTAGGGAGGGAAGGAGAAAGGGAATCTTACTTACAGTGTCAGTTGCCTGCTAGGGTAGAGGCACCAGTTTGTGGATGGGTGCCTATTTGTGGACAGTTTTGCGTTTTTTGCCATTTCGCAAAATTCATGCTGAAAATTTATTTCCTCAAGTGCTCCATATTTTGCACTTGCCTGTCTGCCATCATGTAAATTATGCATATCCATCAGCATGAGTGAACTAGGACATTTTCACTCAGTTTTAGACCTGGCACCTCTGAATTCCTTAATTTTTCCAATGATGTTTCTTAACAGGATATCATTGAAGATAAATATAATTGCTGTACATGTCTCACGCCCATATTTTTCTATTCAGACTATGCACATTTATAATTGTTGACAAAAACTGGTGTCCACAAACCATGTTCATTGATGTCTACAAACTGAAACCAGGCCATCCACAAAGAGGAACCACGTGAAATTCAGCACTTATTCATTTAAACAGCGATTGTTAGAAAAGTATATTTTTAATATTTTATTTTAGGGTATGGGCATCAAACTATGATAAGTGGCCTCGCATTGAAACCAAACAGTTTCTCAGTTACCCCAATGACCATAATGCAATTTTCAAGAGGAAAATTTCCTTAACCTGTCCACAAACTGGTGCCTTTACCCCTATATAAAAAAAGTGACTACTATGACATGGTATTTAAGAAAAACTGCCCAATTGCAGCTGGGACTTTCACATTCCTGGACATGTTATTTTAATTCATCTTGAGAAGCAGTGGCTTCTACCACAAGTGCTAAGTTTTCTTCAATTTAACCTAATTTTGATGTACCACTCCCTCTCTTCCTTTCTGATGAACAAGTTTCTAATATGCATCCACTACCATGGTGCAATATTCACCCAAATGATGGTTAACCCTTCAAGGACTGTCACCATATATAAGTAGTCTACTGTAGATGATTTAGTGAACTCTACTTGCATGTTTTTTTTTTCATATTTAGCCATTGTGCACTCACTCCTATCATGTGTATGTAATAGCTCTGAGAGTTGTCTGTGAGCTTATAGAGTTCAGCAAATTTTTTACTGTGTTAGTTCATTTTCACCAAAATAACTCAGTCTGAGGGGGCATGGCTACTCTGTGAGGGTTATTCCAAAAGTTTTGCCACTGATACACTAAATATTTTCCAGCTACTATGTTTTCAATCTTGTTGTTTCTCCCACATCCCAAAAGGTTGTAAACCAAATTGCAACATTTTTTGCCACGTAAAGAAAAACTGGAGAGAAATTTTATTAGACTGGTTTGCTACCTGCTGGAAAGATCATGGCTAAAGCTCCAGTTCACAATCTTCTACAACCTCAAACAAGGTTTATATGCCTAGGACTACCATGATGAGATGGAAGCAGTGTTAGGAGACTGTGCTTTTGTTTATGTAGCATGGTCATTCTATGGTGCTATATTTTCAGGTTGAGGAGGGAGGGTTTTGAAGATGGTATAAATTAGGTCACAATGGTTGTATCTGAGGAAGAAAAAGTTGAAGTCACAAATAAGAGATAGCCTTCACATCACATATCAGCAGATGGACCAAGAAGTGTGAATTGCTACAACTGCACTGATGAAAATACATAATCAAAATGTACAGGTATAGAATATTTTTTTGTCATTGCATTCCTCATGGCCTGAATGAAGACTGAGAAGCAAAACATATTGAATTTAGCTGCTTGATGCTGAAGAATTTAGATGAAGAGAGTTCAAAGCACCTTACTGACATCATCACATGAGAAGTCTGTTTCTACCATCATCTACCACCCTTTCACTAAGAGGGAAACCATGATGTGTGTGTTTCAAGATATGTAACCACCTATAAAAGTCTTGAGACCTAGACATATCCAAAAGAACATGCATGGTATTCTCATCTCAGTGCATAATGCTTTGAAGCTTGTCAGTCATGAGGAAGACCATGCATTCACCATAGGCTGGTTTGCAGATACATGCATGTCTGAAGTGTTTGAAGCTCAGAGATGACAAGGACCAAATGTATGATTTAAAGAAACCCTCCTTCACCAGAACAATGATGCAGCAAATTCAGCCATAAAAAACCCAGTTTTTTGAGGAATCTGGAGTTTGGACACAGTCTTACCTCATAAATTCTCCATATTTAGCTCCATATTAATACTGGCTCTTCAAAAACATGAAATTGTCACTGAAGGGAAGAAGATTTAAGTCCAGAGAGGAGCCTATAGGTGTGGTGAACCAGGTGTTAACCTCCTTCACCACAAAAGACTTGAAAACCTGCTCTCAAAGCTGCTTCAGCTGGTTGAAACTATGTATATCAGCTGATGGAGGATACTTCACGAAGTGGTAGATGTTTGAAATAAATTGAGTTTCTGGAAGCATTAAAGTTGCATTCTTTTTGAACAACCCTCATATTTAGTGCAGTACTTAGTAGGGTAATGAAGAAGACACCAAGATTGGAGCAGTGCACATGATAAATACTATTTTTTTAAATCAGCCAATTGGAAAAATTATGCATTTAAATTTAAATTCTATTTCACTAAAAATAAAAAATTTTAAATAGAAAAGTAATGATTTTTGCCTACCCTATATTGCCCTATCATGACTTTCCAAGGCTTTGAGACATGGGGAAAATAACAGGTTATCAAGCTTAAGGAAGCAGATATATGGAATTTGAGTTTGAGTCCTTAACACTTTCAGGCCTATATCTGTCACATGATGTTCAACATCCATAACACACTCTTATCCCCAGGATCAAAAGTGTAAATAGTGAAGAAGCAATACACTGGCATTGTTTAATAAATTTTTGCACCAGGGTGAGCTGGATGTCTGATTTTTAGAAGAAAAACAAGTACAACAAGCAAAATGCTCTATCAAGCACTTTCAGTTCTTCAAAAGTACACGATCATCAGAAGAAATATTTTAGACTTAGGGATGGGAGGAAATATACCAATGTAGGAGTTATGAGGTGGGCATTAAATTTAAGTTTTGAGGATTTGAATTGGTATGAAGAAGTCCAGTATTGCTGTATGGCTCTCTATAAGGTACTCTCATCCCATATTATGTATCATGTTTTCAAGTCTAACTTTGCAAGGCATTCTGTGCTTGTCCTGAATAAACTCAGATGATGTTATTTTTCACACTACTTTGGAATGTAATTCCTATCTATAGATAATAAGGATGTACTAGCAGCTTGCAGAGGATTTTCTATTTCTCTTGGTATTGATCTAGCTCAAGCAAGTGGAACACAGACTCAACTTTCACCTAGTCTGGGCTACAGGAAGTTCTGTTTGAATCAGCAAGAGGATATTGCAGACATTGAATGCCTTGGACACAAATCCTTGTGCCGTTTTGATAGCCTTCTGAATGGTTCTCTACGAAAAGAATTTGACCAGCCAGCAACATCACATGTTCCAGCCACAACTGTGTTCATCACCTGTGGACATTCACCTTATGTGGGATTTCGACATGCTGCAGAAGGAACTATTCAGATCTCATCCATTGTTGCATCAAAGGTGAAGGAAACAATCGCCTCAGTTGCAAGGTATATATAATATATTTTCTGATCAACTCACTTGGCCTAGGGCCACATCCATGTCCCTGTACTGAATAACTATCAGTTTCTTCCTTCTTCCTCCTAGGTGCATTGGAAAGAATAATTTCCATATCTCTTTTAAGGGATTCTCTGTGGAGCTCAAACCAAATTTTTCATGAAAACTTAATTTTTTAGTAATTTAGTAGGAACATTATTGCTTTTTCCACCCTAAGTATGCAGGAAAATCTAATTCCCAGAGGAATTCAATTAATGAATGCCTGTGTTTTTTCTTGCAGTGACCTCCATCTTAACTGAACATGAGTTTTAATTGGAATGAAGGTGTCTGACACCAAGAATGACAATCAATCAATCACCAAGAAATCAATTTTTGTGGCAATGCTTTTGCTAATATTTTTTACATCATCCTGCAAAGTGCAATTATGTGTTTTTCAGGTTACTTTTGCCCCACCTCACCCTAAGACATCAAAAGTGATGAGTTCCAGTGAAATAATGATTTAAATCAAGTTTTGGGTATGTAGGTATCCTCTGCCCAAGTAAATGCTGGGTGTTTGCAATTTCAACTTGTGGGCCAATGTCATGACTACTGATAAAAAGTTAATATACTTTGTTTCCTTGAATTTTAGTATATTTTTTACACCATGAAAATGGGAATGAATTTCATTCAGAGGAGGAAAGAACAGGAGAGGAAGTGATACGATTGGTATGAATTATTATTTGTGGAGAAAGATAGGGTGTGCCTGACCACTATAGTAGTTGTTCCAAGAAAGGCACATTTATTTTACACAGGCAAAGTATCCATTTCTTTGCTTTTACTTTCATTTTTGTTTCCAACATGGTTGTTGCATGCATCACTCTGGGCTCAGTAGACAGATTGGAATTTGAATATAATTTGCAATGCATTCATTATTATGGCAGCATTACTTTTCCCTATTATCTGACTTGCCTGCTTCAGATTAGGATTCCTGGGGTTGTATATCTTAGCGACAAAATTCATAATCTGGGAGAATTGATATACTGGTGGTGTATGCTCTGGGTCCCATCCTAAGTTTGGCATGATTTCTTTCCAAGGAGATGGCTAGTTTCCTTGTGTTCCTGGTTAAAATGAGGAGCACTATCTGGTGATGATGCTCGTTGATTGGTTCCAGCGTTGCTATAGAGATTTATAATATTGAAGTTAAATGAATGCCTTCAAGTGCACCACTGCAGTCATTTCCTGCTCTTATGCAAGTGTTATTCTACACATTAAAAATTTAAATTTTGATGAGACCAGTGCAGTCTCACCATTCCTGGTGACCTGACCTTGATCTGCGATGCAGTAGAGGCACTTTAACATGGTTAATCCCATAATTTCCTATGACTGATTGGATGAGTTCCCTTATGATCATCATCTCTATTTTACTAGGTTATGCATGCATCCCAATTCTTGGTCAATGATCTTAGATGTCATTACCAAGTTCTTAATGCTGCATGAATGGGAACTGCCTCAATGAGTCCTTATAATTACCTACTAGTTTACCTTGAGGGTGGCAGTGATTGAGTGGCCACCACCATGCAGTCAATCAGATGCATTGGTTTGTCCTGTACTGAATGCTTTGCAGGGGTTGTGCTAGGTTTTTGCCTGCAGGGGTCCCCAGGACCCTCAGGTCTGATATGGAAGGGTTCCCTGATTATTAAGGGGGTTACTTTCCAAGGGAATCTTAAAGGGTTCCCCAAGAGTTAAAGTCCAGCAATCCTTGTATATTTTTTGACTTAATATAATCAAGCAGTATGATATTCAATCCAGTAGTCTTAGGTCTTCTGCCTGTGCATCCCAGGGGTCCTGGGACCCCTGAGACGTGTGAGCAGGAGGCCAGGGCAAGAAACTTAGTGCAACCCCTGCTTTGGAGTCTACCATAAGTCAGCCAATTCATACCATATAAATGGAAAAGAGGAAACTATGCCACTGCTTTGTTACCCCTTGAAGAGCCCTGTGAAGAAAAACAATTGGATAGTTTGTTGTAGCCACATAACAATATAATCTTGACCTAAAAACAATGAAGGTCAGTATGCCAGAATGAGAGTATATCTTTACTCAAGGAGTTATTTCTTAAGAATTAATACTACTCTTAAGCAGGAGTGAAAATCTGCTTCAAAGGAGCAAGTATAGGGAGGCTGTAGGTGCATAGTGCATAGCTTCATAATTAAGTTTGTGTTGTTTATAACATTCATGCTGTGAGTTATTTGCTGAGTAAACAATGCAAAGAATGAAAATAATGGTGTTGTTCTTTGCACCTGGCAGCATGGTATCAACTCTATTGTATCTTGGTGTTTCTACTTAACACAGTGGGTGGATTCCATTCCTGTCTTCAAAACCAGTGCAAAAGGAAGAACCTCCTGCTGAGAAGGGGACAGAGTTGACATGTCGATTTGGTCTGTCTGATGAACAGAGAAGGGCCACCTTCATTCTTTCTGAACCAAGAAGGAAATTGTCTGTGCTCATTGACACGTATGGACGTGTAATGCTCTTAGACAATAATACTGGCATTATCCTTCGCCTTTGGAAAGGTTTGCCATTCAGATTTTTTCATTTCATGGAATGCAGTTTTTAGTTGACCTTCTTTCTGAAAACTAAAAAGCGGCAACCCTTGGTCCCATCCTGTCTTTGCTGTCACTATTGCTGTTGTCACTATTGCTAACCCTAAAATGTTTCATTGGGTGCATTTCATGAACTGCCATATTTATTCACCTTGTACTCTCTTAGTATATTTTCTGAATGTTGAAAATTACCTTTGTGCACAGTATACCCAAAGTATCATGAGACTCTGCTGATATTTATCTCACCATTTGGTGAAACAAAAGATTGTCACTGTTTCAGTTGCATGCATTTGGCTTACTTTCAACCGAGATTGTCTTCATGTTTCAGGGTACCGAGATGCACAATGTGCATGGTTGGAGGTAACAGAAGAAAAGTCACCAGGGAGATCAGGACTATTCCTAGCCATATATGCTCCAAGACGTGGAATCCTGGAAGTATGGGCTATGCAGGATGGCCCAAGAGTTGCAGCTTTCAATGTTCCAAGGCATTCCAGGTTGTAACTAGGTCTTTTTCCTATGTTGTTTTTTTGTGGAAACTATCATTCAATGTCCCCCTCTGGTCTGTCATAAAAATAAGATGTCTTGCCATCAATGACAGCAATAACTTTAGCTCTCACATGATTCTCCATTCTTTCAATATCAATTTTCCCTTATGCACCCACCGCTTAGTAGGGTACATGCTTTTTATGTTTCCATTGTGCCAAAAATTGAAATTAAGATGCCCTTTCAAGCTCTTTGCTCCATGGAATAACAAGAAAAGGATGAGCAGGAAAAGACTCAGCATAATCCTGAAAGGCAGGGCCTTTGAAGGAAGAAAGATCCATTATGGGAGTGAGAAATCAGACTGGAAACTGAAGCCAAAAATCAGATGGAGCAGAATAATTAGTTTCCTCTGACCTTTTCTATTCCATTCTAAAATGACTTTCTTAAGCTCTCCAAATCACTGATTCCTGCTCATCTGCTGTTTTTTTTTTTTACATGTAATTGCTGTGCTTATGTCCAACAATATGGCATTTTAACTCATCCACATCTAAGTAGTGGATGAAATGTACATTCTGGTGTAAAGATAAATTCTCTTCTACAGACAATCAGACAAAAGATTACTACTCAAATTGTAGGCTTTTGTCTGTGATTACACAAGAGAATAATGGAATCCTGTGCAAGAATGCACAGCCTCACCTTCATTCAAGAAAAATGAATAAAACAAGTTCTTATAATAGGATAGGAATTTATATGTGCAGGGACTATATTTGCACAACTCCATAGGCCTGTCTTTCAAGAAATCCTCATTTTGTTCTTACATGACCATCTTTGTAAGAGTTGATGGAGAGGTTTTCCTAAAATGCAAAAGTGATATTTTCTATTGACCTTATTTATTTACTCAACCCCCAATAACAATAATAACAATAACAATAAGACAGGGGCCTAGCAGTGTGACAAAAGTTTATTGCAATGGTAGTATATGAGGAATGACCATGAGAAACTTCTGCTTCTTGGATGAACCCTGTTTCTTCATACATTCCTGTTATGAAATCCATGCACCACAATACCATGCCCTATTACAGGGTGGTCCAAAAGTCACTATCAGATAAACAGTATTTAACATAAGCTGTACTAATTTACTTTACCAGACAGTATATCATATTAAAACAAGCATAATTGCAAAAAGCAATAATTTTTGTAGATAAACATGCTGGTTCAAAGCACTTGTGTCTGTGGCCATAACTCTCATAATGATAAAAGCTAAATGTGCAGGGGCATGTTTCAACAAGCATGGCATTGAGCACAACAGAGGAGCACAACAGAGAACATCATGGATAAATGTGCGATATATGGGGAATAGTTCAAACAAACATTCCAGGCAATATAAATATTTGAAATCATGAACCTTTGTGAGCTACATTGCAATAAAGCTGATCTGATTGTGACTTTTGGACCACCTTGTACAATGCTCTCCTACTACCGTGCAAAATTTCACCTTTCAGTACTGTTTCTGCTTCAGTTTGAGTGCTCACAGCCATCAGGAATTAAATTGAGCTCAAACTGCCCTGGACAATGGAGTTGACTCCATTTTTATTTTGAAGTGTATATACTTACAGGTATGGTTAAGATTTCAGATTTTTATTTTTATTCTTCATGGAAGAAGTTTAATAATTTTACATTAATGGTATTAATTGCTTGAACTTGCCATACTCATTCATGAATTGCCCGACACCAACATGAGAACTTCAGACCAAATTCCATGAGTGTGCAGCATTTCATATATAGATATTATCCTTTTTCAGACTGATAGATATCTCTCACAAGATGATGGGCCTTGATCAGTCATCAAATACAAAGTTTCAGAAGGCACAACATTTTTCCTGCTACTTCCTCACCAATGACCTTGAAGTATTTGGGCTGCATGTTCCCTTCCATTTAGCATTAAGGTGAGAAAGTTCTATTTGTTACACCTGCAGAAAAGAGGATTATTTCTGGATTTCCCAAAAATGTGCAGGAAATTTGAAGGGCAGGGCTTTTCTCATGTTAGGCGAAAAAAAAATGGCATATTGGTTTTGGCCAAAGATGGTCCTCACTGAAAAATTAAATGTTTCTCTTCTCTCTTCTCATTTTGGTATATATAAAAAAGATTGAAAGGGCCTGAATATGAATTTTTTTCCTTAGAAGTATGAAAAGTGTCAATTAAGTATTTAAGAATGTGGGTATTGGTAAGACTATTATCTGAGAATTCAAAGACCAGAGTAACATCCTTTTTTCTGAGACTTTTTTCATTCTGATGTTTAGTCAAGAAGATGCAGTTGTTGCTCGAGACCATTATGTCTTGAAGCAACTCCGTGGGAACTTCAAAGATGTTGGCGGTGAATTCACAGAGAAATTTCAAGAGGAATTGCTGTTGGGGGTTCAGAAGATGAGAACTTCCAAGGTCCAGCTTCTTACAATGAAGTATTTTTTCAGCAAGGCTATCCCCCTGCAATTTGCCAAAGCCTTTGTGAACTGCCTTATTGATTCTCGACACCTTGGTAAGATCTATTGGCTCATAAATCCTCTGACTTTATGGTTCACAATATACAATACAAAGTACAATTTGAGTTGAACATATTGCACATTCATGGGTGCCATGGGCACCCCTGATTACTAGAGATGCATAATTCCTTTGACTCTGAATTTAAAGTCAAATAGGCATGCTTTTGAAGAAGGGTGAAATAGCAGGCCAGTTTTCCCATTTGAAATTGAGAAAGGCAGTTTTCACAATGATTATTCATATATGAGATGCTCTCTCATCATTGTTCCTTGTATGGAAGACTTCATTTTTGGAGTTATGAAGAAATGTAGTAACTCTGTATGTGGATGCAGCATAGACATTCACCATATACAACATAAGACAATCCATAGAAGTGCAAAATTCGTAAATTTCATTAGATCATTTCTAAAACTGCTAAATGGAAAAAAAGCACTCCTTTTCCTTCCAGGAGGAAAGGAGGGAAGTGTTGAGACAATGGGATTGTGGCATGAATGTGAGAGGTGCCTGCAACTTATTCATCTCTATGAGGTGTTGCAAAAACAGCCTGACCCTGGAGAGTCATCAGAGAAAGGAGATGCAACACTTGAAGTATGTTGTCTAGCCATATATCTTTATCTCCCATGTTGTGGGTGTCATAGGGATTTCATAGCAATTGATGCATTAGAAGTGATTTACTGCTGACTCTCATCTTTGCTGCCAGTAGTTTATTTCAAAGCAGTTTTCTATCATTGACCATTGTTTTATACACCAATTGCACACAATTGTTCACTCTGGTCATAGTCCCTATCCCACTCCCTATCTGATTACGAATATGAACTGAATAAGCTCATGAAGGAATACAAAGAATATGCATTTATGAAAAGACAAAGTTTCTAAATTTGGAGAGAAAAAATTATTTCATTAGCAGCAGCATTTCCTCACATTAATGCTCGATGTGATGCATTTTGAAGAAGATGGCTAGGCTAGGCTAGGCTAGATCATATTCAATCTTGAAAATACAGAAGTGCCTTTTTGTTTCCCTTCAAATAACATAAAATTCCACTTTAATTTTGCCCCTTCCAATTGGCAAGCAGGGGAGAGATGACTTCTTATTCTTAGGTGTAATCCCATCTGTGAGGTCTTTAAATTTTTTTTTTAAATTATCAGACTTGGTTATCAATGATAACAGTTATCAAGAAAGAGATGGTCTTTTCATTAGTCTCATTTATTTTTTACTCTATTGTAGATGATATGCAGTAAAACTTCTGACTGCAAAAGGTTATGTAGTTATTGTTCAGGAATAGTTTTTTTTTAATTACTGGTTAATCCTGAATGGCTCATATGAAGGTGCGAACATGTGATTGAACTATTAAGTGCTCAAATGCTCTGTTGCTGAATGATACATTGGATGCATGATATAGATCCCTGCTGCAAAAAGTCACTCTTTCTTCTTGATTTTTCCTTGCATTCATGTTTTTAGCATGCATTCAACAGCAATTTTTGATTAAACATGCCTAAATATCACCTGCCTTGTTTTTTTACTCCAGTGATTCACATAAAAAATTTTTACATGCCTGTTCATGCATTCTTGAAATAGTTTCTTGTTGTTTTACAGGTAATCATTTGATCACAGAAAACAATCAATTTTTCGTTTTCTTCATGAATTGAAGCTCCTTATGAAGGAAGGAATTTTAATATGAATGTATGAGTTCTGAAAGTCCAGTGAAAGTTATGTACAGGGTGTAACAAAAGTAATGCAAAATGAACAAGTATATTCACGAGCAAGCCTTCTGGAGGAAGTTGACTCAATATCATGCATCTGGACTCTGAGTGCCTGCTGAAATTCAGGGCCTTTGGCAACAGAAGGAGGGCCAGATCGAGGGGCATCCATGACAGAACTGGTTTCTTCTAACTTCTGGATTAACTGAAGAATAGTGGAAGATTTGGGAGCATGATGATGAAAATCCTCTGCAAGTAGTGTAGCAGTTTCAGTGGCATTTCCAGTTCTTTAGTAGTGTTTCACAGCAGTGATCCTTTGCTCTTTGGTCAATCGTAACTGCCACACTACTCGCAGAGAATTTTCATTACCATGCTCCCAAATTTTCCATTATTCTTCAGTTAATCCAGAAGTTAGAAGAAACCAGTTCTGTCATGGATGCCCCTCGATCTGGCCCTCCTTCCATTGCCAAAAGCCCTGAATTTCAGCAGGCACTCAGAGCCCAGGTGCATGATATTGAGTCAACTTCCTCCAGAAGGCTTGCTCATTGGCTTAGAGAAGGTACAGGTGAATAAATGTGAATATACTTGTTCATTTTACATTACTTTTGTTATGCCCTGTATGCCATAATGCCAGAAGGTCACTTTTTATTGTCTTTTTTTTAAATAAGAATTTAGAAGTTCCATTTAATTTTGGCATAATTTTCCCCTCAGTTTGAGTGCCCAAAATTTGCAAAAATAGAAGCCCTCTTTCCCTTCTGAGGTGCAGTTGTAGGACTGATTTTTGTGTAATGGTTTCTGGAGTTTCAAGCTCTGAGAAAATGTGTCTAAGTGCCATGAAAGGCTTGTTAAAGCCTTTGACTCTTGTGCTACATCTAAAAAGTTTGTGTATGACTGGTTTGTGCAGTTCCTGTCTGGTCAGACTGATCTTGATGCCCCACATGAAGCTAATCCAAAAACTGCTGTCATTGATGAAAGTATGGAGAAAGTCAATAGTCTACTTGAAGGTGACCCAAAAATAACCCACCTTGCCCTTGAAGAGACTGTTGGCATAGGACTGGCATTAAAAAAAAAATTCTGGACAAAAATTTGAAAACTAAAAAAATAGTAGTCCACTGGACCCCAAAAAACCTGTCTGACAGCAAGAAACAGGCAAGTGTGAATTTCTGCAAAGTGATGCTCCTAAAGTTTTACCAGGGTCACTCAAAACATGTCTCTGAGATTTAACTGGTGATGAGACTTGGCTCTATCACTGTGACCCACCAACTAAAAATTAAAGGAGAATCAAAGCCTTTTATGGGACCCAGACAGTTTCACAAGGCCTCCTCCTCCCTCAGAAAGGGGGCCACATGTTTCACAAGTTTTGGTCATATATGCTGGGCAAAAATTATGCAAAAATTCACTGGAACTTCTAAAATTCTATAGGAAAAAAATAAAAAAGGTCAACTTCTGGCATTATGACATATATAACTTATATTACTTATGACTTTCACTTCAGAACAACCCTCATATGGTTGTATGATGTATCCATTAAGTTTCCAAGAACTCTTGGTAACCCTTCCATGGAGACTAGAATAGGCAGTGTAGTAAGAGGGAAAGAGAAAGCTGTGCATCATTGGTATAAGACTGGGGTAGTTGGGGATGGGGGGAAAAGCACCCATTGGTCATGGATGATGTGCCACTCTCAGTGATGCATAATGGTCTGGTTCCAGTGAGGAAGTTGTTTTCCATCATGTTAAGCACTGTTATGCAATTGTGCCACTGGCATGTATTGGTTCTAAAAACTTAGAATGCAATAGGATATAAAATATTATAGGGAAATTGCTGGTGAGGAAAGTGGAAGATCACATGGGCAACAGAACCATTCCTCCAGCATGAAGGCCCAGAAAATCATCCTGTCTACAGATAAATGCACTCTGTTTAGCAAATACTTCCATTTACTTCCCTTCTTCATGGATGCTTTTCCACCATGAGGCAGTTATTTTTTATTTTATGTTTTCCTCAATTTCACCTCTTTAAAAATAACAGGCAAATATTCCTTGCTGAAGTATTCATATGCCAAGTCTGCAGCTGTTCCAAGTCATCCCATTTTATGGTACCCACTAGAAAGTCAGAAGTTTCCCTGGAGATTGATCCCTTTGAAACAATTTCATCAACTTCTTTTCTAAAATGGACAAAAAATGAGCCAGAGGCTCACTTTTTACTCCTGATAAACCTCATGGGTGATTAATGCCTTAACCACCATGTGATATGCCAGTGTGTCACATGGACCCACAGAGAGGACCAGTGTGTTTATTCCTTGGTGGTTGAGATATTAAGAAAGCCCAGGCATTTAAAATTCATTGCAAAGAACCTGACTTCATCATTCTTTCAGGATTTGGGGAAGATGCTAGAAATGTCAGAGAAAGAAGTCCAGAGGATTGTGAATGTTTTGGATTTGTGGAAAAGTACCCAAAAGGAGAAAGTTGTGAGATTCCAGGGAGAAATGCCAACTGTCTCTGAATTTCTCAGATGGTTTCAATGCCATGTATCTCATATATCATCAGAAGAACATCAATCAATTCCCATCAAGTTGATGTCTGATCTTTCTGACTTTGACTTGCACCTTCTTGGTGAGTCTCATATTTTCTATACACTCAAATATTCAATAATACAGGGTGTCCATAAATCATGAATGGATGAACATACATACGTGTGGTTTGTAGCAAACAAAAACTTGATATTTCAAGTTTATTTGTATTTCAAGTTTTAAAATAAAATTTGAAATTTTTTTTAAGCTTGTGGGAAGTGAAATAGCAACTCCATGAGAGAAGGGAAATTTGTGTTGTGGTTTACTGAGTTGAAGTCAGTCACATTAGTGCAGTGCAAGTTCAGAACTGTTTGCAGCAAGGATCCTCCTGTCTGTGATTTCAGCATACCAATAGATGAAGCAATTTAAGGGCACAGGAAGTGTGTTTAAAGAGAAGAGCTCAGGTGGCATCTGCAAATCTCTACTGGCACAGTGCAGACCATCTTAGGCTGCACTCAAAGGCTTCCTGTACATGTTCAACATCAGCATCCAATGTTGAAAGGCTACAGGAACTCTTTTCTCATGGACAGGAGGATCCTTGCTGTAAACAGTTCTGAACTTGTGCTGAACCTGTGTGACTGACTTCAACTTTGCAAACCACAACACCCACTTGTCTTCTCTTGTAGAGTCACCATTTCACTTCCAAAAGCTGAAAAATAGTTTTAACAATTTATTTTTTTAATTTAAATGCATGTAATAAAACTAGAAATATAAAGCTTTTCATTTGCTGCAAACCATATGTATGTTCCTCTGTTCATGCTTTATTTAAGTTTAAAGTTATACAAATCTTTTATGGAACCTGTATTCTATATTCTTCTTCTTCTGTATTTTTACCTGTATTCTACTGGTAAGTAAGTTGTTTGCCAGTAATTTGTTGGTGTTTACTACTGTAATTGGTATCTTGTCTTATATGCTGAAAAATCTGGGTGAAATATTGCACATATTGCCACACTCATTATAATAGGCTCATTTATAAATTTATACAACTGCCCTCTCTCTCTGTTGACTAGGGAAATTCATGTTTAATGGAGTGATCAATGGAATCATCATGGAGGATCAATGGATTAGTGCTCTTCGTGACAGTGGAATCACTCCCAGAGATGCACTTCAACTCTTAGTTGACTACCTATGCTCCTTTGGAGTTGTAGAAACAAGAAGTCATGTATGCACTTATGCATGCATTTTCCAAGCCACACTTGCATTGCTTCTTTCACAAGCCTTGAGTAAGTTTTTTTAAGTGTGTGGATGTATCCATGGATGAGATTACTTACCCAAGTGTGTGTCCTTCCATATGTGCATGGGTAAAAGTGTGGGTATGTGTGAAAAGTGTAAGTAGGGTTTTAAAAAAAGTATACCTTCTTTCCAATAGGTATCTTGGACCAATGATATCATTAGCTTGTGGAAAAAACTCACACATGGGAAGAACTCCTGGATATTGCCCCTTTGAATCCTTTTCAGGTTGGTCCCAAGGGACCATATTAGCACTTTCAATCTGATGGATGTAAATGTACGTCCAGCCCTAACTAGCATCGGATGATAGTGGACGCAATAGTATGTTCTTTGAAAATGTTCAAATTTTTACATAAATTTCTGCAATAAAGTAGAGACCTTATGCTTCAATTTCTAAATAAGAGCAAGTCTCTAACATTTTGCATTCCAAAGTTATAAACTTTTATTTTGCAGACTTAAAAAAAACTTCTGTCACACCCTCTGGAAAGAAAGTATTAACCCTATCGTTGGGGAAATTGATCACTTCTCAAAAAACAACCCAAGGTTTTTGAGGCATGTGTGAAATATTCTTGAACATGCTAAGTAACTTGTAACGTAACAAAGGAGGCTAAGCAGTTGAAAAAGAAGCACATTAACTGTATTGAGGACAAGCAAAGAAGTCAGCATCTTTAACTGGCTCAAGGAGCTGCTGTGAAATGCAATGTTTTTGGCAGTAGCATTGCATGTGATTAGGAGACTGTAGAGACTGTGGATGTGAGAGGAATGATCAACCATAGATCAAAGTGAACATGCACTATGAGTGTAAAGGCCTTACATTGTGATAAAAAGTTGCAAAAATTTTTGCTTGTGTGCATAAATAGTGCTTAAAAAATCACAGAATGACATTTTAACTTATTGTATGGGGGATATTTGCCTGCATTGAAATTTCAGGCCACGAAAATTTATGGAGTACGTCAAGTGGATGTCCAGGAGGCAGTACAGAGGATATCCTCATGTACTTCCTCCTCATGCATTGTATAATTCATCCAGATGTGTAATGTGTCTATCTGTATATCCAGAGGATGTGCATAGGATGAGCTTTTGCTGCCTGAGGTCCCACATGAAAGGAAATTGACTCTGCCTATAGGTCAGCGTGATACAACCGTGGAATCAAGGATGTGTCCATATTACCCCATATTGGCTTGTATGACAAAATTGACAACACTGCTTGCAAACTGCAAGTGAAGGGGCTTTCCACAAGCATTCTGGAGGGATCATAGAATAACTTTGAAGAAAGGGTTCTGTATCCATGCTGCTATTAGGAAATATACACTTGAGTCGCTCAAGGCTCATATTATTTTTAGGGTCATGAGTTGAACAAGCCCATGCATATGCAGGATTCACATTAACTAGCTATAGTGAGTCAGTGACTCATATTTTCTTGGAGGGACTCATATTTGCGAAACATCTAAGTCTGTGGGACTCATTGACAACCACCTGAACTTGTTCCCACTGAGCTGAAGCTAGGCACCAGGACTCAAGATTTAAAAAGGCTTGTGTGAACCCTGATATGACTTTCAAAACATCTATGTATCCCAAATTCCTGTGAGAACTGGATTAATGAACAGGTCTAAATGTTTTGACAATTGCATTTGCTCTTTGATAGAACTACTTTTAAAATTAAACCAAACTAATTTTTCAGTCTGTTAGGGTTTCATTGTGAAGGGCCATACTACCCCAATGGCCATATTCCTCCAAGTTACCCTTTTTCTGATTTGACCATGGAGTCCATCTTTCCCTCTATTGCAAAGTGGAACATACAGCTGTTAAAAAAAATTCCAGTTTTAGTTATCTGTACTGGAAAGTTTTCTTGCATAGACAAAGAAAGAATGTTGCAAAATATGGGTTTTTGAAAGAAAACTTCCAAAGACATCCTCATCATGGAAGTTTTCTTTGCAAGTCAACTTGCAAATAAATTTGCATGGAAAACTTTCTGTTGTGAACAAGGCCTTAGGCAATATTGCCTGCAAGTCAAACTCATTTATCGGATGCTTCCTTCTAATTCTTGCATTTTGCAAAGTTGGAAATTTGGATGAGATGGATTCTGGTAGGATTTGCTAAAATTATGTAGTTATGTGTCTTTTAAATGAGGTGGATCTCCTGGGCAGATTTTTCAGCCTTTCTGCCCCTTAGTAGAGGTTTCTTATTGCACCGACATGTCAATGATATTTTACTTCATGATAATGAGACCCAGGGCTGGATTAAGAAGTTGTGAGGCCCAGAGCAAGTGGGTTCTTGAGGCTACCCCCCTCCTCTGCTACTTTACGCAAATATGTAATGTTTTTAATTTCCTCCGGGGGCCCCCCCTGGAAGAGTGGAGCCTGGGGCAACAGCCCCCTTTGCCTCCCCCTTAATCCAGCCCTGATGAGACCAAAACATTTATAGTGGGTATTGTATTATCTCTGAGTTTCACATGATTGATTAAAACCATTCTTTTAACTTTTAAATCATAATACTGCAGTTAAGTGGCACATACTTTTTATATAGAGAGCATAAGCTGTTGAATGATTTGCTTTTATCCTCAGGTTCAGAGAAACTTGGACAAGAGCACGAGTCAAATAGAGCAGAGTGCAGTGCTTTTGTATCTCTTGCAATGGAGAAGCTTCTGCAAACGCCCAACATCATAGTAGCTCTCCTCTGTGCTCTATCCATTAGAGCTGCTATAATTAAAGAGACTAGAAAGTCAGAGGGGGACTTGGCAAAGGTGAGTGAAATGGATTCCCATCTTCATTTGATTCCTTTTGCATTCCATCTGCATTCGACTCCTTCACTCTCATCAAGCATGTGTATAAGTTAAGCTAGCATATCATGATACTCACTAAACTTGCAAAACTCACAATGATGATGCCTTCAGCACTCCATTATCTAGAATAATGATTAATTCATTTGAAGTATCTGTTTGTGCCAATCTGGTAAAACTCCTGGGATCATAGGCATATTTATTGCTCTGTCAAGTTACTTCCTGTTATGTGACATCATTGGCAAACTAACAAAAACAGATCTTTAGCTTCTTGAAATAGTCATACTGAGAGGTATTAGTATATAGTGTTTTATCTATCTATACCTTGTCAAATAGTTTTAGGATAAGACTTTCTTGGAATCATGCTGTATGAAAATATTTTTTACTATGTTGATATGGAACTAAAAAAGTTGTAATTTCCTAGGAATAATCTTTTCCAAGTGATCTTAACAGAAATTCAGTTTTATATATCTGCTTCCTTACCGGAACAATAAATTTCATGGAAACATTTTCATGGAAAACATCTTGAAGACGTATGCCCCAAAAGGAAATATCTTGAATGGAGAGTTCTTTCCCAAATATGGATCTGGACAGGAATCTTTGTGCCTCAGTTTCAGTTTCTGTCTCTCTGTTTTGTGAGAGCAAAATTTTTCATGGAACAACTGTGTTTAAAAAAAAAAGAAAAGATCCCTGCATGGGTATACTGAAAAATAGAAAAATTACTTAAATCCCCAAGAACTGCAGGATTACCAAATATCACTAATTTATTTCTCCACATTGAAGCTACTTGCAGAGAAAATGTATTTGACAGAAAATCCCCTAAAGAAAAAGTCCTTTCTGGATAAATCACACAACTAAAAATGGCATTTATATTAGTATCAAGAGAAGCACTTGTGTACCAGATTTCAGCTTTCAATAATTACCTTTTTCAAAGTGACAAAAACTTGTTTCAAGTATGTCCCTGTCAAAATAGATGGCATGAGGGGAGGTAGTTGAGATTATTATTGAAATTATTACCCGAATGATTTCTTGTGTGCCAAACTTAAGATGTCTTCATCTCCCATCAGTCAAAGTGAAAAAAAAACTTGGAATACTTCACTCCCATAATTCCCCAGATGGGACATATTTCAAGAGTAGGACTTTTTCTTTATTCAGCTATTCATCAGGTACTTCTGCACCAAGTTTCAACTTTCTATCGCTCTTTGTTTCATTGGATCAATAAAGATTCAGGAAAAGGCACCTCTTACAAAAGATTGTGCCTGGAGGGGTTTTACCTAAAACTTAATATTTTTTACTGAAATCAGTACTCAGAGAACTACATACCCACCAAGTTTCAGCCTCATATGTTTTCCCTTTTCTCTGGCAAAAAAAAAATTTTAAGAAAAGCCAACCACCCTAAAGCTATGCCCTGGGAGGATCCACCACAAAAGCTGCATTTTTCCTGAGCTTAACATCATGTCAGTTATGCGTGTGCCTAATTTCACCTTTCTAGTTGTGTCCAATTCACTAGGACATGAACGAATTGTTTGAAAACATCACCCCCAAGAAATATACCCCCTGGGATGCATCTGAAACAGTTGTATCTGACATTTTCCCTTAACTCTGTGTCTCAGTAGGCATGTTCATGTCAAGTTTCAGTTTCCATATTTCTCCATTTGACTGAAGCAAAAATATTTATATGAAAACATTTCCCCTCAAAATGGGTGCCCCCAAGGCATGTATCTCCAAAGTCGGATTTTTTCTGCAAAGTAATTGAATAGCTACTTGTGTATCAAGTTTCAGATTTCTAACTTCTCTGAAACATGGTTAAATGGCATCAGTCGCTCACAATCGTCTATATACAGGGTGCTGCAAAAGTTCTAGAACCAACTCTTATAATATCTTTTAATGGAAACAAAACAAAAATTCACCAGCTGAAAGAATAATATTATTAAGGAGACATACCAGGTGTGACAATAAAGTTCCAGGACTGATTTTTTGTGAGTCTGTCAATATCACAAAAATTATTTTCATTCCATGGACTGATAGATTAGACTGTTGGGCAGTGTAGTCCTCATCTGACTAGCATCTTGAATGAGAGTTTGGCTGGCAATGTAGTAACTTAGTGTGTAAGGTGTCTGTCATATTCCCAGAGTGAAGCAATGCTGTATCACATTTTGTCTCAAACCAGTCAATACAGCAGCAGTAATCCATCAAATGTTGCAGAAGTGTCTTGAAAAGTTCCTTGTTATGCTCCAATAATTTTGAATGACCTTCAAGGCCTTTAGCAAGTAGTAAAGACACTCAGATCCACCTCAACCCCAACCATCACCAACCATTCACCCAAGGGATGGCTAAACCAATCATTATTTTTTATTATTTGGCTGAAAACCTTGAAAACTATTCAAGATTCTTGAGGTATGACAAGACAATTTGTCAAGACACTTCTTGCAACATTTGATGGATCGCTGCAGCTGTATTGACCGGTTTGAGACAAAATGTGATACAGCATTGCTTCACTCTGGGAATAACAAGATGCTAGTCAGATGAGGACTACACTACCCAACAGTTTAATCTATTAGTCCATGGAATGGAAATAATTTTTGCGATATTGACAGTCTCACAAAAAATCAGTCTTGGAACTTTATTGCCACACCTTGTATCAGAACACTGCTTTTAAGATTATTTTCAAAATGCCTGTTTTTGGATTCAATGAGATTGTTCAAACTATGAGGAAACTGGTTGATGATGGCACACATCTGTGTTTTGTTTATTTCCTCCTAGGCACATAGCAGATCACACTTCAATGAATCCAAACCTTCCGTTTTGTGAGCTTTTGAGCAATGTTTTTGCTACAGCATTCCCCAAATGGAATAGTCCATTGGGTTCATGTTGGGCAAGTTGGCCATCCATTCGTCCATGGTGAAGAATCTCAGACAGTTCTTTCGGAGGAACTCTTGTGTGATCTTGGATCATCCAAGAAAGCCATCCAAGATTTGATGGCTTTCTTGTTCTTTTGAGCATTTGTGGTTCTTGGACAGCCAGATCTTAGTTGGTCTTCAACAGTACTCAGCTCTTGAAACCAAATGATAGCTCACTAGACTCTTTTTCTTAGAATCTCAAACAAATTTGCAATTCTGACATTACTTTTTCCCTTCTTGTGTAGCTCAATTATTGTGATTCACTGATCTTGTTTAGAAATCTTAAGTAAAGTGGATAAAGGACAGAGAAAATTTGTCATAAAATATGCCAAAGCTGAGACATATTGAGAAACAACACTTGAAAGCATATCACAAATGATAAACAATGCAAATTCGAATGGACAAAAATACAGGGTGACCCAAAAGAAACCATACCAACTTTGAAAAGCCATAATGAGCCCGGTATGTTTTTTTTGGGGGCACCCTGTATTTTCGAAGACAGAAATTATGAAAAAATTCTGGCTCCAGAACTTTTGCTGCACCCCATATATTAGATGCAACATTGCTCTTATGATGGCACTTAAATGGTGCCAGGATATTTGCAATGCTTTTGATGATTCATGGCAGTCCATATGTCCTCAGCTTCTTGAACCCTGTACAGGTTCTATCTGGCGTTATTTCATCAGGGTTTTGACTTCACTACTTAGTGTGATGGAGAAGTTGAATATCAAAATCATTTTGGCTCCAGCAGAGTGTGAAGATGCATAATGGCATTATTATGTGTACAAGCCCCACTGCTTCATTTTCAGTAGTGTTAGGTGCCCTTCAGCGGTGAATGGAAGAAAACAGGCACAAACATGATTGTCTGACTATATCTTAACTGGGAAAGGTTTGGATTGTCTGAAGTTAAATTCAAATTCAAAATCAAGACATTTCACAAACCATTTTACATGTTCCATTTCATTATATGTTGTGAATTTCAAAATTGATGTGCAATATTCTACATTCCCACTCGCCAGGAGGACATCACATGCATCTTCAGATTCAAATGGTCCATGGTCTCATCTGATTGAAGTGCTCACACTTTTGAAACTTTAGTATGATTCAGTGACTGAGATGGAGCAACACAGTGAATCTAACAGTACAGTGTTTCTGGAATGACTGTAACCCCCATTAACATGGGCTCCATGCTTTTCAACAGACCCTGTTGTTGCTCAGCAAAGTAGTACTTCTAACACTAGCAATAGATGTCGCTTCAAGCAATGGAAGCGTAATTGAGTCCTCAATCTCACTGGAAGACAATGGTCAGTAACCAGTGTTGGAGTTGAAAAAGTATTATGTGTAAAGTATATGGCAAAATCATATATTTCAGCTCAATATAATGTAACTAGTTAGATTTTAACAGGTTTGATTGAAGATAGTTATTTCAATAACAAAAATCTTAGCACTCATCACAGAAGTGCTTTCTGGGGTGAATATGCTTGGTATCATTTCCTTTGTATCATTTTCTTTTCCATGTTTTTCTTTCACTCATAAAATATCTTTATCAATGAAAATCTCACAATCCCATGATGAAGTCAGTAGCCCATCTACTGTACCAGGGAGGGGGGAGGAGAGAGAGGACACTCATTGCATCCTTTCAAGTCCCTATATACTTGTCTTTTCCATTTTTTTCATGACCTTTGCCATCAAATGGTACAGTTTCGACCCGAGTCTATATTAATTCCAGCAGCGTTTTTAATTTTCTTATACAATACTCACTTTCTGTCTATGCAGGTAGTGTCATACTCAAAACGGGATCTTACGACCTGACCCACTTACACCTCTACCGTTGCACTGCTTGTGAAACTTATAAGTATGTCATTAGTAATGATGATAAAGACAAGATGTCTCTCACTTCACTGCAAGCAACAGCATCATGGAAAGAGGGTAGGGGGGTTAATGTCAATCCGGAAACACTGTAGTTGCTTGTAGCCTATTTCCTTCCTGAGTGTACCATTTCGCTTGGCATTAGGCTCCATTTTGAAAGGGTGCTTGAAGTGATGACATAAAACACAATATGATTATCAGTTATCAGTAATGTCCTCAAGTTATTTCAGTGTGCCCTGATGCTTGAAGATATGATCTTATTCATTTCAAGGGAGAACACTGTACAGAAGCAGAAGGATGGGAAACATTGACAAATGAGACCGTGAAGGTAAATCAGTTGATCCGCCAGCTAGAAGATGCTGCATTCCTCTTCATCCTTTTGAAGTCTTCTTTGGCCTGCACCTTGAAGAAAAGAGAACCTGAGAAACTTTCTGTATCGTTGTCTGAACTCATCTCAAAGGGCAGAGGTATTAGATACCTTTCCTTATTCATGTCATGCCTCATATAACCCTCAGCATTCAGTTTGCTCAACTGTTTCATCAGCCATAAGTAGCCTTCTCAATATATTTCTGTATGGATCAGCTGTAACTAGCAAACCAAAATTAAGGATTCAGTAATCTAAAAATCTCCTATTGAGATTGGAGAGCTTAGAAACATGTAGCTGTGAAATTTTCCAAATTTCCAATTTTCATCAGTTTGTTTTCTAGCTGTGCCTATTTTGCTAAATCACTATTATCTGAGATCAGTGGCATTATAAAAATGGAAATTTCCTCCAAAACTCATTCCATTTAGAGAATAAAAAATTATTTACTATAATTTCATATCACTGGACTTTTCCTGATTATTTTCATAGGGAACTCAAGAGCATCATCAGTACAGGGTAGGCCATGAGTATTCACACCAAGTCTTTTATTTTCTGGACTAATAATTTCTCATAGAATCAACTCAGTATCAAATGAGACACAAAAACTGACTGTAATTATTCACAAAATCTTTTTTATGTCTTAACACCAACCCACAATTGCTGACTCTGCTATTTGATTACTCTGGATGGACATGCTTCCTTTCCTCTTTCAGCATCAGCCTTAATTGATTCAAATCACTTGATTTCATTTTTTAACACTTCCAGTAGACTCCACATACATTAGTCAATTGGATTCCAGTCAGAGTTGTAAGGGAGCTATTCATTTATGTTAATATTTCTGCTACATGGTTTGCTAGACAAATGTTTGAGCACCAACCCACGTGACTCAGAGAAGGAGTCCTGTTGGAGCACCCAAGATTAAAGAGATGCTGATATTTAGGCATCACACTTTTTTTTCTTTGCTTTTTCTAGGCTTGCAGAAACAGAAAAGTTACATGTGGTATGAATATTTATGGCCCACCCTGTAAAAATAGATTTAACACTTTCAACCATGCTGATTTCAGTGTGTACACTATGGGTGTAGGATGTTACATGATAGTTCTCGGAATGAAAGTGTTAAACAAGTATGGAAGTTTGGACACTTCTTGCAACAGATATGTAAAACAATTGGGAATCCTGGATACTTCTTTCATATAGAAGAAAACACTAAAGGAGGCAAATGTGTGAATGTCAAGTGTGACTGTTTCATACTTTGATCTTGCCTGGGAGTTGGAATAAGGTTGATGAAAACTCAAAGAACAGAATTTTTAATGAAGTGTTCATTTACAAAACCAACTTCATAAAGATGAAGAGAAATCTGGAAACATTATTTCTCTGTAAATTTTTAAAATCTTCTTTTCCCTTCCCTTTCAAACTCTTAAAAATCCTATATTAAGGAATAGGCTGATGGTAAATGATAATTGGACTGTTTCAGGAAGCGTCTCAGAAAAAGTTGCTCAGTGGTTAGTGGCAAATGATGCCTCTGCAGGACTGGTTTACATTCTCCTGTCTTCCCTTCGAAGCTGTTCAAATGAAACAAATGATGATGTGAGAAGTCCTGGACATCATCGAAAAGATGTTTTCACCAGGCTTGAAGACTATCCCATCTTCCTTCATATCAGAGGTAATTGAAGGAATAGGATAGAGGAAATAGAAGGAAGTTTTTCATCATTCCTTCTCATCAGTATATATTAGTTAATTTTTGTCGAAGGAATTTTATCATGTGGTAATTAATAGCTGCATGCTCAAGCATATTCTTTCACTTACTTTGTTGCTGAAGGCATTAAGAAATTCCAAAAGTGAATTGTAAAATATATTTTGTGGTAGTTCTTCCTACAAAATTGTGTGATATACTTGTGGCAGAACTACAAGGAGGTTCCTTTTCCTCCACATGTCAAGTGCTTTAATGGATTGTATGCTAATATGACCTTGTGATCCCAACTATATCATGAATTGGTTATTTTTAGTGCTGCCAATCAATTAAAATGTTAATTTATTAATTATGGGTCATTTAATCAATCAATTGGTCAATTAATAAAATTGTAATCAATCCCCTAGTTCAGGGGTCGGCAACCTTTCACTAATTGCAGGCCGGATTGCCATGGCTTGACCCTATGGCAGGCTGGAGTGTGTGATTATGGTGCTGATCTACATGGACAGTGGTGTAGGGAAGGGGGGGAGTTTAGGGGGTCAAAACCCCCCCCTTGGGCTTCCTGGTCAGTGACAGTCAGGCATATTTCAGCCTTCCTTGGGAATTCCAGTTTTAGCTATCCCCCTTTGAGGAAAGTCTAATGTTCATCCACAGACCCAAGATGCTAGACCACGATTTCTTCAAAAAGGTAAATTCCGGGTGGTGGAGCTAAGCATAGGGTTGGGGTGTCTACCTGGCTTCAACCCCCTCCTTGCCGATTTTCTGCCTACACCACTGTACATGGAGGAGGGAGTATAAGGATTTGAAAATGAATTAAATATAAAATAAATCTAATTTCTTGACATGCTTGGTGGGGTGGATGAAATCTCTTTACCTGCTAGATCCAGCCCACATACCGCAGGTTGGCAACCCCTGCCTTAGTTTCTCCCAAGGCATTTGGTCAATAAATTGGAATTTTCTTATCTCTTCAAAAGTGCAGCAAATGTGCCAAATTTTATCCAAATCTGAGTTGCTCAACAATTGCTTTTTCCTGGTTTTCCCACTTTCTCAAAGAAAAATTCTTAAATCCAAAATGGCAGGAGAATTTCCCTTGTAAGGGAATATATTTGTCATCTAAACATCACTTGAGTGATTATTCAAATATCTGTACAAGGAAGCAGTATGGATGGAAATGGATACCTGGAGCTAGATTTCAGCCTCTTCATGATATTAGATCCTGCCTGAATCATGCCCTTTGCCTTGGTGAGCCTCAGGAAGTAATTTTGCATGATGCATGTGGCTATCATATTACTTGCTGAACTCAAATACATTTGTTCAGTGTCCACAAAACACAGTCCAATCTGAGGAAGAAGAGGCAATGCGGAGAAATACTTAAAAATGTGAAAAGCATTGCATTGTGGCTGTTTTTCAGCTAGCCAACCCATATATCACAAAGTAACCTGAATGACTAAAGGTATAAGTGCCATGTTTTTCATGGAAATGGACTCATTATTAATACACAAGCCTTTTTGGATGGAAGAACAAAAGAAGCACAGAGTAGATTCATGACATTCATTTCCTCATCTCTAGCATGCTGGGGCTCACCCCCTCTTCCTGACTTCATCCCTGGGCCTTTCACATAGAGTGAGGTGGGGCAAAAGTAACAATGGGGTAATTGTAACAGTGCTTTGTATTTCAGCAAGTATATTAGATACAATTTCCTGTGCCCATAACATGCCTTCATCCTTCATATCACATATTTTGAGCTTCGCTGTGATTGGCTAAGAATGCATTTACTTCAATTTTGTGCACCATGGTAAGAAAATTATGAATCCATATTTTTTTCTCTTCTGTTGCAATTTCATTTTTCATCCCAACTAATGATGTTAAAAATGGTAAAAATGTTTCATTTGCTGCCTGATCTTATTATCAACCTCATGATCTCAAAATTTGAACTTAGGCCTTATCGCATCATTTGTTGAGTCCAATGTTACTTTTGCCCCATGGAAATTTGGGCCATGGGGCAATTGTAACAACCTAGCATGGGGTAAAAGTAACAAAGCACGTATAACATTTAAAATGCTGCTGACTTTGGTATATGAATCTATTTTTGGAAAAAATGTATGCATGACTGAGCACTGTGTATGGGGCTTCTTACAGGCTTCATAATGGTTTGCACTTACAAAAGGAAAACTGAGAGGGGTACAAGGAAACACTACTTCCATGGAAATCTTGCCAGTGCTGTGAATGCCATTAAGAATAATGTAATGAACAGAAAAGAACATAAAATTATTATGGTGTTCTGAGAGCACCATCCAGATGCTCTTGTCGAAGCATCATTTAGAAGTCCAAAAAAAATTTCTATGTTATGATTGTGAATTTAACCCTCTCAAACCCTGCATCCACTCCAACAGACATTGTATTTTCATTGTTTCATTTGTAATTTCTTAGGTTTCTTGTGACTTTGCACCCCATACTGCACTATGATGGATGATGCAATTATGCATGGCACAATTCTGTCGGAGCCCTTCTCTCACCCATCAGTTTTGCAATCTTCAGTTACGTAATTGCATGTATAATGTATAATATAATGGTACGATATTGTAAATTCATGCAAAATATAACAGCTATATATAGAACATAAAAATTTTAATTAGAATAGGAAAAAAGCTTAAAAAATGCAAAAAGGTATATTATTTCGATAATGGCCCTAATTCAATTCTGAAAGGGTTAAGGTTTCTCTTTGTTGATAAGTTTGAAAGGCATGAATTTTATTGGTGTTCATCATAAGCAAATAGGATTGCAGATTTCTGTGCTGGTTTTGAGGAAAGATATTGAGGAGAAAGAAAATAAGGAAAAGTAAAGTGATTAGTGCAAGTGGGGTGGATGAGTGGAATTTTATTTCCTCTTTTTATTCCCAAAGAAAGAGAATTCCTGCAGGCTTAAAATTCAGCAGAGATTGGCTGCAGCTGCTTCAGCATTATACACTCCTATTGCTTCATTTTCAGAACTTGTTAGCTAAAAATTTCCTAGATTCATCTACATTTTCTGGAGTGCATTTACAGTTGACCATTTTGCTCTTCAGTACTATCAGGTGGCACTTGTGCAGGAATGTTACTCTTACCCCATAGTATGTTACTTTTACCCCATGGTATGTTACTTTTACCCCATCCCATGGGGCAAAAGTAACATGAAACAAGGCTTTGAAAAAGAATGTGTCTGGAGGTTCCATTACATGTTCAAATTCTGGAAGTCATTGGAATCTCTTGGTCACTGTTTGAAGAGGGTAGAAATAAATTTTTGTGACAATATTTTAGCTAGTATTTTTTCTATCATCCTGCAAAGTGCAATTATGTGTTTTTCAGGTTACCCCCACCTCACCCCTACCTTCATTCAAGCACCAGCATGCCTCTCACTCTTGCATCTACCCCATTTTCTTTCCTACTCCTGCCACAAATGATCTGCATACCTTGCCCCTAGACCTTTTTTTTTCTAATGCATTCTCTTGTGGCATCCTTTTATTCCTGCTTTATTTTCCATTTCTCTAAATAGCTTCCTTTTTGGATCATTCTGAAAGCAATGGCTTTGCTTTTGTTTCCTTTTTTTTTTCAAATATAATAGGTTTTTTTGCTGCAGAGTCAGTAGTGCAGAAACAGCTTCTGTACTAGCCATGTCATCACACTCTCTTGACAAAATAGTTCATTTGTTAGGAGTGTGCCTTGCAGTCAAATTCGTTGAGATGAAACAGGCATTCAAAGGGAAATTTTGGAGCAGACAAAAATTGAATATCTTCAATTTATTTTTAAAATCATGATTTAAACTTTAAGGGATTAATCGGTACATTAATCTTATTGGCAGTCTTAATTATTTTCTTTAATTCATGAATGCATCAATGATGGTAATGAGTTGAAAGCAGACTCAATGCTCTATGGTTTCCTTGAATACAAGAGGATGTGGGAAGACTGTCTTCACCTCATTCTTTGTGTCATCAATAAAAAAAAATTAACCACCTCCAGGGTATGCTCTTTCTTGTGATTTTTGCATAAAGAATGGTGGTGAAAGAATTAATATAAATTGTTAATGACACCCTTTCATTCATGACTACAGGGAACTGTAAATCTTCATCCCAAATGTGTCAGAGGACCCCACCCCATTCCAAGTTACAAAAGGTTTAACTTTGTGCCGAACTAGACCACAGAGAAACAGAATCATATTGAGGACCTTTGATTGCAATTTTGTCCATTATATTGAATCCCCTTTTGAGACAAAAAATTTTTATGGGTAGCCCTGAAAGTGCACATTGTTGTAACTTGTGGTTCATTTTCAGGTGTCTGGTTTGCAGCACAGCAGCACTTCCCTTACAGCTTTGATGATGATCTCATAATTGGAAATTGTGCTGTGGAGTTTTGTGTTGAGTGGACCAAAAACATGGATGTCATGCATTACTTAGAAAGAAGCCTTGACATCCTTAAGCTTCTTCGCTCAGCTCACTTGAGAAGAGGTGAGAAATATTCATTTCCTCTCACTCTTTTGAGGGGACAGAAATATTTTTTCCACATTGTGAATCACTTGTTTCCAGACGCAGTATATAAACCAAATTGATTCACTATTTCTCAATATAAGCTAATTTTTCACTCTTTAGCCATAAATTCATGAGTTGATTTGAGTCAGAGGACCAGATTTAGGACTAGACTTAAATAATAAAGAGCAAGAGTGCAGAAGATGAGGCTAATGAAGAGCTTGCAGTAGCAAGATGCTTCACATGTTTCATATGTTTGACCAAATGATACATTAATGTAGGATGTAGCTGAAATACTGTTCTTCATGGACTTCAAGTAAAACCAGTTTGAGATGTGTTCCCTCTGCAAGGCAAGTTTATTGACAGAGGTACTGTAATTATAGCTAGGAATCATATGATAATTCCTCTCACTTACAGGTATCCTCAATCTGCTTTGGTCTATCCATATTGGCCGTCCATTTGCTGCAGGAGCTATATTGATTAACAAAGTAGGAAGAATGCCAAGGGAGCGCCTCTGTCGCCAGGAGGTGGGAATGATGGAATCTTCCTTTCGGGCTTTCATCCGCAAGTGTCGTTTACTCTTGGAGATGCTTCTTGAGGTGAGACCTTCATGCCCTGTCATTTGATAAGAAAAATGATTTTAATTTAAAGAAGCATGCTGGTTCTACAACACATGATTACAAAGAATGATATCTGACTGAACCAGCATTTCTTTTATGTTGAGCAACACTCCACCAGTTTGTGGTATTACAATCATCCAGGAATTGAGAGGTTTCCCTCTGAAACTATATAATCAAGAATTGCTGCTTGTGAAGGGAAATATATTCCATGACTGCTGCTCATTTTTTATACTCACTGACATAATCTCCTATATTGCTTAATGTGGAATCCATAAGTAGCACTGAGGAAGTCTGCCTTTGGGAACTTTGAAAAGCTGATAATGAATTTTAAGGACTAATATTTTTGCAGAGAAGTGGTATCTCACTCCCCCAAAGTGCATTGGTGATATTCCTACTAGGAAGTTGTGATGATTAAGTGCTGGATAGTAAATTCACCACCTGTCTTGTGATAGGCCATCCTCATGTGTCAATCGGAACATGCCCCTCGCTACATGTCAGAGGATCTATGGCCCCCTGGAGCTCCACCAAAGCCACTTTGGGAAACAGTTCTCGAAAAGCAACCTCCTGTTCAGCGCAGTGTGGAGATGCACCTTGATCTGGCAAACATCTTGGAGATGATATTGGAGTTCAATGTCAAGCAGCCACATCCCATTCATCTCATCAGTGAATCTGTGCTTATCTTTTCCCACATCTGGATTTTATTACATATGCAAATCCATTCAAGTCAATTTATATGATCCTTAGGCAAAGACGGAGTTGTTTCGAGAACTTCACCATCCAGTGCAATTGACTCATTTATCTGGTGTGAGGTCAGCTCGCTCGCAGTTCTTAGAGTCTGTGATATCAACTCTAGTGGCTTCCCTACCTGATATCAGCAATTTCTCAACATCTGCACCCTTGCCTCGCAAAACTTCCTTGGACTTGGTATGTCCTTTGTTATTATGCATCTATCATGTACATTATACCAAGTGATGCATAAAAAATAGGCCCCTCTTTGAAATATGGTGGCTTTTATGAGGTAGTAGATAGCACAGCATATATTTTCTCTGTAATTAATTCTCTCCATTCTCTAAACATCTTGAAGTGTTTGTCCATTTCTTTTTAGTCAATATTTGGCCATATAAACAATATCACAAAAGTATTTTCAATTTTTTTGCAAGGAAAAAGTAGTTGGTAGGTGTTGTTTGCACCAATTTTTGGCCAATGCTCCTCAGTCTGTCTGTGAAAATGGCACTCTCCACAGAACATGAAGCAGTAATTAAAGTCTGTTATTTTGATAAAAAATGGAAAGAGGCAAAAATTGTGCAAGAACTACTTGGCAAAGGATGGAAGATATGTATAATTCACAGGGTGATCCCCAAGATATGAAAACTGGTTCATCTGAAAGGGAGGGAGGGAGCAGTGGACCAAAATTAGTTTAAACCAAAAAAAAAAAAACCTATGTTAATGTGAAGAATTTTTTTGGCTTTTCAAGATGATCATTTAGTGACCCAGAAGCTACAAATCACCAGAGATATATGGATGAGTCAGAGGTCTACTTGGGGGATTCTGATGTGCTGAGTGGAAAAGCCATTTTAAATTGTCTGTATTAATCAGTATAGCAGGTGTGAAGTTCATTGTGACAGTGTGAGCAGCAAAAATAAAATTCAAGTTGCATTTGTAAGTTTCCTTGTGTGGTAAACTGGAGATTAATCCCTGTAGTGGAGAATTTCTTGTACAGAAGTCTTCTGCCAGATTGAGGACGTTTTTCCTGGGAGTAATAACTAGCATTTGTGTGCAGAAATTTACTACTACTTTCCAAGTTTTGAGTTTATGTTTAATTCAAACTTTAAAAATAGCACAAAACACACACACACACACACTGCTGCCTGTAACTGGAATTCGGCTAATGCTACAAGGCCCACTGGGTTGCATACCTGCAAGGAAACACACCAGTGATTGATTTTATCCTTACAGACATGCAACCCAGTGAGCTACAAGGCAATTGCTGAACTCCACAAACATGCAGCTAAGTTTTCTGTTGTTGCATTTAAATACAAATACCCTCTATATATTGACAGTGGCACTGACAGAGCTGGGATTGCTTCTAAGGCATTAGGTACTGCCTTAACTATATAGATCTGCAGCCATAGCACCTGATGCCAGAAAAAATTTTGGATAGGGTTTGTTTAGTCAGACTTGCAGCCTCAACAGACTGCAGATGAAACAGACTGCCAGACAAATTTCTAGGATGGGATCCTTGCTTTCCTTTCTCTTTTTAACTTCCTTTAGCTTGACCCCATTTCTGCGAGCTATTCACAATAATTTGGCTTCAGAGTTTGGTCTCTCTGTTCTGTCCTTTGTTCAGAAGCTGGGCATTTTCTGCTGCCTTTGGGAGATTTCAGCCAGAATTGGCACTAAAAGTAACTTCTTTTATTCTATCCATGTGCATTGGTTGAGGGTAGTTTACTGCACAATCAGGTAATTGCCTATTTAGCCAATATATTTGTCTTTGTTAGACTCATTTATGCTCGGTGGTACAAAAAAAAGCGTCTTGTTTGACGCCTTATAAAATCCGTTGTGGATGATCTAGGTTCATGATATTTTCATATTATGTTGGAAACACCACAAAATTTGTTAAATGAGAGTCTCATGCACCTAAGTTGTCTGAATAAATATCGACAGTCACTCAAAGTGGGGAAATAAAATGGTCCTCTCTGCACATGAGGAGGATGGTGTTTCAGGACCACTCGAATGAATGATTTCTCTACCTTGACGTCATAAATACCGCTTTTTATGCCACTTCTCATTGTAGTATTCAACACATCATAGAATAGTACTACTGTCGTACATCGTAGCATCAGAATTGACTCCACACAGAATACTACAATGAGAACTGTCCATTTTATGACTCCAGTTTGAGCGACTGTTGATATTTATTCAGACAACTTAGGTGCATGAAACTTTCAGAAAACAAATTTTGTGGTGTTTCCAATGTAATATGAAAATATCATAAACCTAGATCACCCACAACAGATTTTATAAGACATCAAACATGATGCGTTTTTTTTGTGCCACCCAGTACGTACTGTATATCAAACCTACTGGGGAAGTGTTTCTCCATTACAGATATTTATGCATCATACTCACTTAAGAGGTTAGTCAGCAAAAAATTAGAAATGTTAAGAAGATTAGAAGTATTCATGAAAGTAAACTTTATTGTGAAACTTCATTGTGCTATCTGGTATCTCAAACACCAAACTATATTGTTTATACCCCCTCTGGGGTGTATGTGGGGCTAAGAAAAAAATTGTATATCCTGCTGTATAGCCTTTTTTTTGTTAAGTTCCCTATGAGACAGGCTGTTTTGGGCTAGAAATTTCATTGAAAGAAAGGAACTGGGATGAAAATGCAGCTCTCATGAGATATGACTTCCCTTTTTTTTTTAACCTCTAAATAATTAGATGACTCTCTGCACAAATCATCTGTAAATCCTCCTTAAATCATTCTTTAACCATTCTTAGGTGAATTGGATATTTTGGCACCTTTAGGTATACGTGGTAACTGCCTTAGTCCAATATTCTTGGGGATGGTATAGGAAGGTAAGTACTCATGATCTCATATTCCTCCCATTCAATTATCTCTGTTCAACTAAAGGTACAAAGAATGATCTAACCTAAATTGTTTTCTGACCTGTTGGGGGCCTGCACTCCTTCTATGAAAATCTCATAACTGGAGAATGAGAGAAACTTTCAATTTTTTTCACTTCTTTTTTTGCACAAAAATATTTGCAAAGAGAAAATTGTTACAAAAAAAAATACAGAAAAAAAAGCAAACAAAACAGAGTAAGCCAGAGTAAAAATATGAATTGATACTCATTTACACAATGGATTCATGGAACCAAAGCTAATACAGTATTGTTGCAAGCAGGATGGATTGCTTATTGGTAAAGTGATGTAGCATACCAATAAGAGGGATCATCACCCACATTACCTCTCCACTTCAGCCAAACTGACAAGGATGACAAGTTTCTTCTTGTGGCATTAAATCTATTTGCATTGATTGGATTATGGCCATGCTTTTGCTTTTATATCAGTGGAAATCTAGAGAGAATCAATTTTGAAAGTTATTTGAATAAAGAATTGAAGACTTGTTAATGAAAAAGGATTGGTTCTCTTTTGATTCTCATTTCCATGCCAACATTCCATCGACAAAATTTTAGTCATTTCATGAATTAGTTGGCATTTGGTATTTCTTACAGGATGAAATAGACACATATTTTAATGAATATGGAAGAGGAAGAAATAGTGAAATGGAAGAGAAAGGAAGTGAATGGGAATGGAATGAGAAGCAGGAAGGACCAGGGAGCTGGATTACACGGTGTCTTGCCCTTGCTGAGAATTGGGAGATGAACTGTGACTCTCTCAGACAGTATCATGTCTCTCAGCTCTACTCAAGAGGCTTAGATTCCATAGCTGAGGAGGTGAGTAGGTTCCTTGCCTCATGTGATTGTATCTCCCCTTCTCCACTACTCCTACTGTATATATTGTATGTGTAATGCCCAAGGTTTGTTTTATCATATATCCTTTGAGAATGTAGTAATTTTATGAGAGGATATAGTAATTTGATAGTCTGGGACAGTCCATGAGAGAGAAACAAATGAGACTTGATTCATTAATTCATTGCTAAAGATAAAGAGCCAATCAACTTTGTATAGACTCCCAATACCATAATTCTGCATGACAGTAAGTTGCAGATGTATTTATTTTATTATATTTTGGTTCCTTCAGGTCATCTTGTAATGGATAAAAAGGTATCCAATCTGATACACCAATGATTCATCCTAATTATCCTTATTTGCACCATGTTGTTTTCAGTACATTTTAAAGAGAGCCATGTTTGGGATTCCTGTGAGAAGGTTAGCATCATTATGAAATAGACCATGGATTGACACAGTAGGGGTCTCCCCTCACCCTGGCCATTTTTTATAGCTTGTATACTTAACAGCCCTTTTAACTTCCAGATTAAATGCTTTTAAGCTCTTTACCACCTCTTTCCTACATTTTAAACATATCCCTTTCCAGCATTGCAATACTAAAAGCTCAATGTGTATGTAGATGAGCCAGGTATAGGTGATTTTGGTTCCTGCACCTTCTTAAATGTAATTTTGTGACTTTAAGGTGGCTTGACCTAGAAGTGAGAAGGACTGGTAAAGGGCTAACATGTTCAATCTCTGTCATCTGATACATGATTGAAATTCTTATTTTTTCCTTTGGTCTCCCTCCTTGTGAATATATTAGATAACTCATGGAGAATAGGGATGAATCAAGAGACATGCCTCGCTTTTTCCTCAAATTTGCAGCATGGTGCATTCAGCCTTCAACTGAATTCAACGTGATGACTTCCCGTTTTCTCTTTCCAGTACCTGCCATCTGTGAACGACTCGGTGTCCCTCGCCCAACAGTTGCTCGTGATAGCAGGGCACCGTTTTCAGCATTACCAGTTGAATGTTGCAGAAGGACTGAGCCATTCTATGGCTGAACTCACTCCTATTCTTTCCACCTGGCTCATGGGCCTTGTGAGTGCCAACGGTATCACTCGTCCTGGATCCACTCCAGCCCTTGTCAACTTGTGATCGTTTTTTCTTTGTAGAAGCAGCAGTCCAGGCCACACAGCATCAATGTTCCCATCGAAAGCACCGAGGTACTCGTCTCCTTCGTCGTCAAAGCCCTCCCCGAATATCAGAAGGACCATCGAGTGGCTTCCGACCTGCTCGAAGCCCTTCATGCAGTCGCAACATGAACTCCGTCACCCTGATCATTTTTACCAATTTCTTCTATTATCTTTTTGCTGGGCAGAAATTTTTCCTTTCCAAGCATTATTTATACTTGGGTTGTAAAAATGGTCAGGCCTTAGAAGAGTCTGACTTTGGCCTGATGTCAGTGCCTTTTAAAGAATAATAGTGTGGGTTTCATAACCTGAAGATTCTTAATTTGAGTTTTTGAAGTGGTATGAATTATTGCATGTGACCAGTGCCCCTGAGAGTTTCAAATACAGGTATTTGGGAAAATTTATTCAAATTTCTGTATCCACTGGTTGTTAGATTTTGTGCTCTTGTTGATAGTGCAGTTTTTATGTCTATTGGAAAACTAAGAAAAGTTAACGTGGGATTCTACATCATGCAAGGCAAGAGTACAAGGAATACATTTTTAGGGAGGAAGTGGGGTTGTGGGTACATTATAAAATACTCATTCTCTGACTGAGACTTTATATGATGGTCTCAATTAGCGTATTAATTCATGTGCATCGATGGTTTTTTTTCTCGTATTTTGTTACCATTTTCTTGTGTACTTCTTGTTTACTGTCGATATCATTTCGTTATGACTGATTTTCTTAGAGCTCGTAAGTTTTTCCTCTCGGGACTGTGAGACGGGTCGCCAGCATTTGCAAGGATGGCGCATCCCGGTTCAGAGCTCGTAGAGATTTCGACGAACGAGTGAGAGGGGAGCCGTGGTGTTTTCGGCTTCTTCCCTCGAGCATTGCTCCCTTTTGCTCTCGTGGATGCAGGCTGAAACGATGGCCTGCCATCTGCTACGTTCGTGCGATGTTCCGACGTCGTTCGAAACTGCCGTCGACGGTAGAAAGCGGGACCTCTCCCATCTTTCGCGTTCGAGGCTTTCGCACGAGGACGCCGAACGGTGCCGGATGGAGGAAGGTAAAAAAGACGCCAATTTAGGCGATTTCTCGACGTACTCGAGGCCCCTCGGAGACCGTCGTTCTGCGAACCGCTCGCCTGCCGATCCCCCCGTACCCCCGTGGCTTTACGCCTCTCTCGAGCGGCGGTTCGTCCAGTCGCTCGCCCGACCTCGAACACCGTTCGCTTCCAACCGATGAATGCATTCGTACGGAGAGACGAGAGGCGACGGACGGCCGACCGTCCGATCGCCCAGCTGCGCGACCGCTTATTCCTTTTCCCTTCGGCACGAGCCGTGACTGCGACCGGCGCCCGTGCCGAATTCCACGGGCGAACTCGGGACGACCCATCGGTGAATTCCACCGGTGGGAGCCAGACGCCCTGCCGGTATTTCCGAGGGAAAGCGCGGCACGGAGTCCTCGATCGGTCCCGTGGGCACGAGTCAAGAGATCCATGTTCGACCGAAGAACCTTCTCTTCGACCCTTTTCTACCTTTCTTCAATCCCGAGGCCGTATCGCAGTGGTGCACAACCTTTTCCCCCTAGAGGGCCAAATTGAGACTTCGTCTCATGTTCGATGGGTTTGAGGGCCTGCGGCCCTCGAATATGAACCGAAATCGGTCGCGTATTAATATGGATCTTTAGAGACTGGAGGCATCCAAAGGGCCGCGGGTTGTGCATCACTGCCGTATCGAGTCGAAACGTGAAACTTACCTCGATGCTTAAGATCGTTCACGCGAGCAGTTGCACGTGCACGATCGTGACGTGTGGAGTTTGGGACCCGTCGTGAACGGGGAATGGAGAAATGCCCGCATAGACGGGATGGGACGCGGCATCGAATGCCAGAAGATGCATTTCGAGAAAACGTGGACGTCGGTGCCCGTCCTCGTCGGGCCTTCTTCGATCGAAACGTCACCTTCCGTCTCGAAAGTCCGAGTCGTAAAAAGTCTATACTCCGTGTTTAGCGAGAGCGAATGCGATTTACTCTCCGTGCTCACCCTCCCAGCCTGCTCGGGGTCGAAGGCGGAGACCGAGACGAGAGCGTGTCGGATCCGGAGAGAGATTCCTCCGAGTGCGAACTCGCGAAGCGGCCTCGAGGAGTCCCGCCGACCGGCGGTTCTCTTCCGCCGCCGCGGCCGAGATTTCCTTCCTCGAGTCCGGAAAGGACGTCGGAAGAGTCATCCGTCTCCTCGAACGAGTCCGTGTCGGCATTCTCCGAGTCGCGGACTTCGTCCGGCGGCGGCAGATCGGCGGTCTCGGAATCCAGATGTGCATTCCGCCGCGAATCCGCCTCTCCTCTCCCGTCTTCGTCTCTCCTTCGAACCGCTCTTCTCGACCCCTGCGTCGCGGACGGACGTCGTGCGATGCCGCGAACGATCGCGGAGGCGAGTCCTCGTCGGGACCGACGTGCCGACGGAGGAAAACCGCGTCCCTGCCACCGACTCCGTCTCTCGGCGGTGAATCCGTGTTCGTTCTCTGGGTGGGTTCCGGAGGCTCGTCGGTGGAGGCATCCGTCTCCGACGGTCCGTCTTCTCTCCTCGGTGTCCCACTCGCACCGACGTCTCCTCCGCTCCCGGTACCGGAGACGCCGGAAGAGACCGATTCCCTCGACGCATCTTCGGTGCTCGAAGAAGCCGAGCGGGTCGAAGCGCTCGTCGAACTCCACGTGGGATCCTCTCCGTCCGAACGAGTGGATCTCGTCGCGACGTCTTCGCTCGACGGGGAGGACTTCCCGATGGCGCCCTCCGCGGTCTCCGTTTCCGCTCTCGCGCTCGTCGCCGAATCGGATTCGCTCGCTGATCCGGCGATCTCCTCTCTCGTCTCGCCGACCCGGGCCTTCGCGGAACCCTCGAAACCGGAACCGACGAGCTCGTCTCTCGGGAGAACCGCTCCCGAAGCCTCGTCCGATCCGTCGACTTCGGCCGCGACCGTCCTCGGCGTCCTCGAATCGACGCGGACGTCCGCCGCGAATTCTCGTTTCGTCGAAGCGTTCCTTCTCTCCCGTGCCGTCTCGGAACGAGCGCTCTCTTCGGCTGCCGTCGAGGACTTCTCTGCCGCGGATTCGCTTTCCCTGTCGCTCTCGTCGGTTCCTTCTCTCTTCGGCTCGACCTCGGCCCGGCCGTGCCGACCGGGAACCGAAGGGATGGGGTCCTCTCCGCTCGGCGTCCCACCCGATGCGAAGCTCGGAACCCCTTCGAGCTTCGGGGACGGAGCTTCCGACGCACTCTTGCCGCTCGTCGACTCGGAAGGAGATCGTCCGGGAGGAAGAGGAGGAGTCTCCATCGGCTTCTTCGAATCGGTGACTGCACCTTCGCTTTCCGTCGGGTCCGACGGCGGCGCTTTTTCCCCGACCGAATTCTCCTTCCATGCCTCTCCCTTCTCCTTCGATGCGTCTCTCTTCTCCTTCGATGCTTCTCTCGTGCCGCTCGTCGACAAATCGGTCGCAGAGAGGTTCGTTTCCGATCCGGTCCCGGATGCGGTGGAAGCGGCGCTCCACCCTTCGGATGCCACCGAGGTCGATTCCTCCTCGTCGGTCGGAACGGCAGTCGAACTACCGTCGCCCTCCGATCGATCTTCGTCGGCAGTCCCTCCCGTGGTTTCTCCTCCGGCGACTCCTTTTTCTTCGACCGATGACTCTCCGGTCGCCTCGGTATCCCTGCGTTTCCCCTTTTCTGCGCTCACCTTCCGCATTCCTCCCGGAGAAGCAGAGGATCTTTCCGTCTCCGCCGCTCGTTTTTGCCGCTTGCGTCTCCGTCCGGCTCTCCCTGCAAGATGGTCTACCGAAGCCATGCTTTTCGGAATTCCATCTTCCATCCGACACCCGTTCGCTCGAAATGCCAGCAAAGCACTCAGTGTTTCGGTCGGGCGAGAGTACTTTCTCCGCGCGACATCGACGTAATGCACTCTTAGAAAAGAGGGAGCGATTTCCGAGAAAATGAGCGAAACTGGAGTTGGCGATTTTACTCTCTAAAAACAAGGAAGTGCAGTCGCTCATCTCTCTCTTTCCTGAGAACAACCACGAACTTTTCCTACTAGTATGAAAAGTACTCTCCCTCCTTAGTTTCGCGCTATTAAAAACGTTACGGATTCTGCTCATACGAAGGAGTAGTTATCGATTGCACTTCCTCGTTTTTAGGAAGTAAAATCACTAACTCCCGTTTCGTTCCGTTTCTCGGAAATCGCTCTCTTTTCTAAGAGTGTAGAGACGATTATCTTAAAATAAAACCGAGACCGGTAGTTTGCAGAACGCCTCGTCGACCGACTCCGCCTGGAGAAGACTGCACGAGCTTATTCCCGGAACGGCGTTATCTTATCGGTTGCCTTCTTCGGACAAAGTAGAATAAATTGACCGATCGCGAGAGGACAGCCGCTGTCTTACCTCGTCGAGAGGTAAATGGGCGTTGCTCGAGGGCGTCCTCGAGCAGCGAGACGTTTTCTATCATCGTAACACAGAATTTCGCTTCGACACCGGTGACCACTCACGGCGATGGATTTTTGCGACCGCGGTACTTCTCGGAAATGCGTCGCTCCTATAACTGCTGAGGGGTATCGCTAACCCACACGACCGGAGCCAATTGGGCGTCTTCGATACCGTCTCGCTGTTTTCCGCGCAAACCCTTTTTCGCCGTATCATACGCACGGTCAGAAGGTCCAGTCCAGTCCAGGTCCAGTCTGTCGGTCTAACGGTCTCGAGACCGCGTCGGTTCCAAACACCCCACGGCAGTTTTACGAGCAGAGCATGTTCGAGTTGGTGCCCCGACGGGAAAAAACCTATTGCCGAAAAAGCAAAAAAGGCACCCCTCAGAGTCGAGTACGAGTCGTTAAAGCAGTCCCGACCGATCGTGTCGGATTTTAGTTTTTCTGACAAGCGGCATCCGGCAGATCATCCCTCCCGTACGAAACAATTCTCTTCGCCGTCGACCATCCCCGACTCGCGTCGAGACGGACGACTCGATCAGGTCGAACGACTCACCCGTCCAGGCAGAAAGGAGGAATTCGCCCGAGAAGAAGAGGAGAAATAGGACGAAGAAGAAGGCGAGGGCAATCGTGCCTAAACGATGTCGATTCCGGGAAACGAGGGGATGGAAGAGCCACGCTTCCTTCGAAGAAAGGCGCTGCAACCTGAAAAAGAGGACACGGAGTGTCGACGGTGTAGAGTCTAGAGCCTAGACGATCGGAAGATCGACAGGATCTTACGAGGGGTCATCGAAAAGTTCTCAGCCCGATGCACTTCCAGTTGCATCACACCGTTCTTACTTTTCTCACGGGAAGACAAACGTCTTCGATGGACACTGGCAAAATTTCATCTCATATCTCGATTAAAGATAGCTTCTCTTTATTTATTTCGATCTGCTACCGAGGGACCTGTTGAAGATGTATTAAGATCGAGACGAATGCCATGATGAATTTTCCAACTTCTATGGAG